TCATTATAGTGTTATTAATTAAATTTATAATACCTAGTACAGGGCTACATCTCTCTCTTTACTCAAGGTCAGTATCTGAGACGGGAGTTCCAGTATACATGGCCTATGTAGAGGGAGTGTTTTGTGGCCTCTGTTGAGGATATTTGGCTACCAAATTTGTAACTAAAAGAATTATTAAATTTCATGAATGCTATTGAAACTGCAGTGTGCCATGCACCAATAGTATTAATGCTACACGTACCACATGCAATGCAGTGGAATCTTAAATAATATCTGAAATTTACTTTTCTAATAATTTCTTTATTGATTCTTTTTCTTCCATATCAATCTGCATGGCATGTCATGTCATGACTGGATACTGGGAGAGAATAAATACTCGAGACTTATAATGGCAGACAGAGGTAGTGGACCCGGTTGCTTCATGAACTGATCCTTGCACTGCTGCAGCTCTCAGTACGACCATCAGAACTGTTTGTGATGCTGCAGATTGCTGAAGTGATCACCGGACGTTTCCTGTCCTAGGAAGGAGCCTGTGAAGAACTGATTACTCCATCAAATGATCATGATTTTATATTTTGTTTTTATACTATGTCAGAAAATTATGTAATATTTAAGTTGTCAATATCTTTAATTATGATTTTATATACCGGTATTGTTTTCATACCATGTCAGAAAATTTGATTGATTTAATTAATACCCATTTAAAATTAAAGTTCTTCTGTAATATTTAAGTTTTCAATATCTTTAATTTTGATTTTATATTATGTTTTTATACTATGTCAGAAAATTTGATTGATTTAATACACATTTCAAATTAAAGCTCTTATGTAATATTCAAGTTTTCAATATCTTTAATTATGATTTTATATTTTGTTTTTATACTATGTCAGACAAATTGATTTATTTAATTAATACCCATTTAAAATTAAAGTTCTTCTGTAATATTTAAGATTTCAATACTTTTAATTTGGATTTTATATTATGTTTTTATACTATGTCAGAAAATTTGATTGATTTAATTAATACACATTTAAAATTAAAGCTCTTATGTAACATTCAAGTTTTCAATATCTTTAATTATGATTTTATATTTTGTTTTTATACTATGTCAGACAATTTGATTGATTTAATTAATACCCATTTAAAATTACAGTTCTTCTGTAATATTTAAGATTTCAATACTTTTAATTTGGATTTTATATTATGTTTTTATACTATGTCAGAAAATTTGATTGATTTAATACACATTTAAAATTAAAGCTCTTATGTAATATTCAAGTTTTCAATATCTTTAATTATGATTGATTTAATTAATACCCATCTAAAATTAAAGTTCTTCTGTAATATTTAAGATTTCAATATTTTTAATCATGATTTTATATTGTTTTTATACTATGTCAGAAAATTTGATTTGATAGATTTAATTAATACCAATTTAAAATTAAATTTCTTTAATTTATATAAGTTTTCAATATTTTCAATTATTAGTTGGACCAGTAGCATACGCAGGATTTTTCACAACAACTCAGCCAGCCGCTGAATAAGTGGGGGGGGGGGGGTAGTTAAAGAGCACATTATCATTGTGAGCCTGTGTTTACATCATTTTGTCTTATACATGTAACTGTTATCATCTGAATCTTACAAAGAAAAGGGCATACTTATATAATATTGGTGAAAGGGGGGGGGGGGGGAGAGCACATTATTATTGTGAGCCTGTGTTTACATCATTTTTTTTCTGATACATGTAACTGTTATCATCTGAAGAATGAAATGAAATACAATTTTTCAAAGAAAAAGGGCATACTTGGTACACATATTTTTTGGCTAAATAGATTCTGACTTCTTGAAATTATTTTAAATTGTTTAAAAAATGAAAAGGGGTATGATAAAAAGCATATCACATCCTTATGAAATAGGCCAGATCCAAGAGCATTTTGCTTGGTTGCACATATATTTCAATTGCGACTTATGATCGCAAACGTGGGCCGTAGGGGAATTTTCCAAACTATTGATTTAGGCTGTTGGGTTTTTCGCCCCTACTTGGAGATGAAGTATGACGGTGCAGTTTTGGAAGATGCACCGTTGTAGTAAATTACTGTAATCATATATCTATTATCTACATTTGAAATGTACCGATAGATTATTCAATTTTTTTGTATAAACATTGCCACTTAACGATAGAACGTAACTTGGTCTAGATATACATTGCTTGAATTATTTTTGCATGCAAATTACTGTAGATATTCAGCTACATGTATCCTTCACTTTTTGAATGATGATCTTAAGATGATTGCATATTTTCTCATACCTGCATACAGACTGCAGAGTATTGTCTGTGTCAGACAAACAGTTGTAAATAATTGTAAATTAAAAAATCAACCTGTGATTGTTGGTGGAATAACACACAAATAATGAATACAAGCCTTTCTTTTGTACATAAATAGGAGAACTAGAGAGCGAGGAGGGGAAAACTACTGAAATCTAGATTTAGGGAGAGAGAGAGGGAGAGATCGAAAGAGACTAGGCAGGACAAAACACGAGATTGATATGAAAAAGAGAACAATAAAATAAAAAGATAATAATACAACAAAATTGGACAATGTTTGAGTCAGAGAGCGAACAATAGAATTACGAGCAAGTAATAAAATGGTGCGTACAAATGTTAGCTGAAGATGGGGAAAATGAGAGACAAAATAGATATTAGGGAGTGGTAATGAGCGGATATAATTTCAAAGCACAAATCATGCAACATGCAAGGGTAAGAAAAGAGAGTGGGAATTAAAGGCTACATTAAATAATGCAATCGATAGTCAAAACAGAAAAGAATGATAGAAATTGAAATTTAAAAAATATAATAAAGCACAACAACTTGTTTGTTTTTATCATTAGATAAGTGAAAGAGATCGAGGTCATGGTAACAAAAAAGTGAAAGGGAAGGGGGAATCAAGCAAAAAAGAGTGATGTGATCCGATGAACAAATGAGTACAAAATAATTAAAATCATGTTGGCAGTGTCAAGCCAGACGGCAGACAGCCAGCGATCAATGCATCATGATTATACCAGCCCATTGAAGCTAGTGCATTGACGAAATCACCGTACACTCAAGCTCACTCAGTCACTGCATGCATTGCACTGCACTAGCAGTTGTGTACCTATAGCTACAACAGCACGATTGTATTTTGATCTGAATCTAATATCATTAAGGATCAGGCGGTGTAAGGAAATACCAAAGTATTTTTCGCAACAATTAATTCATGCAACAAAGAGATTGTTATGAATACGCACCTGAGCTTGGGAATCCCCCCCAGCTGAGCTGACGTGATGACTCAGCGCGCGATCGCCAGCTGCTGCCAAGCTTGGCTCAGCTGAGATCACGTCATCATCGCCCAGCCAGAAATGCAGCGCATGCGCACGAGGGAGCGATGACATCATGTGAAATGTCACGGGTCATCTGGAGAACGGACGCGTATGCGGATGCACACTGAAGACGAAGGAGGAGGAGTTTAACGATCGCGCTCAATAAGCGCCGCAGCTAAGCAACAGGCGTACGCTATGCATATAGCGCTACGCAGATTGCTGCTCGAGCTGCTCAGCTGTTGAGCACAATTTGCAACTCTGCGTGTAACATCTTTTTCGACCATTCTGATCAAAATCGTATGAATATTGAATAGATTTGAGGGGGCTGTATCTTTTGATAGAAACATCGGTTAGTCTTGAAATTTAGAATGGGTAGTTATGAGTCAATGATTTTTCTAAATATCCAACAATAATGGTGACAAACGATCCGAAAGTGAAAATTGAAAAATCGTCCAGACACCCTATTATTAGGGTGTCTGAACGATTTTTCAATTTTCAATTTGGGATCGTTTTTCACCATTTTTGTTTGATATTGGAATAACAAATGTAATCAGAATAATACCTTTCAAATTTCAAGACTCACCGATGTTTCTATCAAAAGATACAGCCCCTCAAAAATTGTGCAATATTCATAGCATTTTGGTCAGAATGGACAGAAAAGTGGTTCACGCAGAGTTATAATTTCTGCTCAAAAGCTGCACAGCTAATGCACAGCACGATATGCAAAGTGTGGAGCAAGGGTATTTTCAAACTGTTGTAACAAATGATCCCTTGGGACTAGAGAAAAAATAAGTGCATGGATATATTCTTTACAGCTGGCCCAACTTATCCCTCGGGGGAGCAGTTCGTGAAATTGGTAAATCTCCGAGTTACCATGGAAACGATGTTTAAATCGCTGTTTTGAGCAAGATATTTTTAGAATTCCGGGGGTGGCCCCCTATGGGGAATATGGAGAAAAACCTGCTCTTTCATATGACACCACATTTATTGAGTTTCACCTTCAGGATCATTTGTTATAAAGGTTTGAATTTCAAATTTTTCATAAAACCATTGACCAATTTTGCTTGGTCGCGCAATGCATGTAGACCACATAGGGATGTGTGCAATCTCTATGGGAAAGATTTTAGCACACAACATCGGGTGCGCGATCAGACACCCTACTATTATTGGATTAAAAAACGTCAAAATCTGCAAGATTGTCAACAAATGGTGAAAGACTGTTACAGATCCGTGATTATAGGTAGACTCTATGTTGTGAAATGTATAATTGTATTTTCTTTTCATATTTTCTTCAATTTTTATTTTTACATCATTTTTTTCCCTTTGCTAATTTTTTGAAGTGGGCGACGAGCGCACAAATCGTAGGTGTAGAAGCCTTACGCCCGGGCATTGGCCTCCCTAATACGAGGATATCCTCAATTAATTTATGCGGACGACGGACAACCGGACGGGAAGGACAACCAGACGGGACACACAATTTCTGCCAGTTCTTGGTAGGTCTAGACCTCTACTTTTTCGTTCATGACGTTCATATTGAAGCCTTCCCGTTAACATGCATCAATTCATTTCAGCTCAAATCACACACACAACACACCACACCACAAACTCTCCATGTGTTGCGATCACCGCATTTAATACCTTACCTGCTTCTTTGAGGCCACCATTTTGTCAGATTTTGCGGCTTCCTCGGTCTGTAATGAGAATCATACGATAGAAAATTATCTCATAATTATAAAAAAACTAACAAATTCTCAATTCAAACAGACAAACTCTCAAAATGTCAAATTTTGTTTGGGCAGCTACTTACATCGTGAGAAATTTGGTCCGCCGCAACGTGAAAGAGACCGATATCCCAGCATGCAACTCTGAGCTAGCTAAGCTTCCGATTCTGGTCAAAGTTGATCGAACACACATATTTTGAAGTTCTCGGAGCGAAGACTTTGCCATCGCGAAGCGATCAATCAGAATTGATGGATCCTCAATGATTGTAGCAAACTGGAGTCAATATGTTTGTTTATCTTAGTAAAAAGGTGAGAGCAAGATTGATTGTGTTTTCTTTCTCAAGAGTATTAACAAGAATCTTTCGTAATATATCTGACTAGATCTAGACTCTACGCCAAAATCGTGGGCACTGGCACTGCATGGCACTGGCACTGCGGCAGCGAGCGGGAGTTGTCGTCATGACTCCTCAACGCTTCGGGCCTCGGTCAGCTCAGGCTCTAGACCGAAAGCTTCAGTCTCTATACCGTCGGTTGTTCCACTGAGACTACGTCTGGCTCCACTAGACCTCCGGTTATAGAGACTGAACGACTGCCTATGCCAGCCTGTGTTGAACTTATTCCGCTAGATTTTAGCCGCTAGGCCCCTCCCCCAAACTTGCCACGGCCGTATTGTTATGCCCCCAAAATCCCCCAAAATGTCATTTTACCTCGTCCATATCCAATTTTAAATTAGGCCTAGGCTATAATACATCGGTTCCACTTACTAATTTGATGTAAATAATCCGTTTAATGGTCCCTTTTAAGGAAATTATGGGTCAAAATCGACATCCATGTTGAAAATCTTGCAAGCCGTCCGTTAAACTCTCGCTGCCGTCAATCTCATCCCTTCTAGTCTACGCCGAAGGCAAAATGATAATGAAGGAAAAACTGTGCGCCATCTACACGTTCGTAATGGCGTTATCACAGTTTTTTCCTTCATAATCATTTTGCCTTCGGCGTAGACTAAAAGGGATGAGATTGACGGCAACGAGAGTTTAACACGGCTTGCAAGATTTTCAACATGGATGTCGATTTTGACCCATAATTTCCTTAAAAGGGACCATTAAACGGATTATTTACATCAAATTAGTAAGTGGAACCGATGTATTATAGCCTAGGCCTAATTTAAAATTGGATATGGACGAGGTAAAATGACATTTTGGGGGATTTTGGGGGCATAACAATACGGCCGTGGCAAGTTTGTGGGAGGGGCCTAGCGGCTAAAATCTAGCGGAATAAGTTCAACACAGGCTGGCATAGGCAGTCGTTCTGTCTCTATAACCGGAGGTCTAGTGGAGCCAGACGTAGTCTCAGTGGAACAACCGACGATTATAGAGACTGAAGCTTTCGGTCTACTCAGGCTCCCACGACAGAGCCAGCGCCTGGCCAGGCCAGACCAGGTAGAGCTCAGAGTTTGCCATGGCTAGCTAGTTAGTGAGCTAGATCTAACTTAGTTTAGTATAATTTACAACAGGGCTAAGTTGCCTTACTTACGGGTTTAGTTATTGAAATACATGTAGGCCTAGAGTAGTGGCTCCGGTCTGCGGCCGACCGGCGCGGCGGGAACTGCCGATTCTATTTTTATTGGAATACTCACAGAATACTTCAATACCCTCAATAAAGAGTCCATATACTTACTTATTAAATAGAAGTCACAAATAACCTAACTGACCCACAGCGTGGTCAGCATTGACCACGTTTCGAAATGCTTCGAGTTCCCCGGTTTGCGGGCACGCATTACCGGTTTGCGGCACGCGTACGTCACAAAGCTTTATGCGCTACGTCACGATGAAAGCATGTACCAAATTACTACGGGTAACCCAAATTCTCATGTTTATCTGTTGCTACGGTAAATTTGTCAAGTTTTAAACAATTTCACCTTTTCCTCGAATGGATCATCCCATCCGGGGGTAAGTACTACTAGAAATTATCGGGTCATAGCGGGTACACACATCAGCACACATACCATCATACACGATCCCGCATGTTATGTGTGTATTAACACCCCCCGCCGCAAACCAGAAAAAACACGTAATTACGTGCCGGTTTGCGGCCACCCCATGCAACTGGCCATGCGGTGGCACAATCAAAATATCTGCGATAGGAGACAGACCACAGCCATCATACTTCCACAAAAACATCAAATTTCACCTCCAATCGGACAAATATCGGACAAATAGAGCTACAATATTGATCTAGTCATGCCTCGATCTCTTAACTTAAAAGTTAGCACCTGCTGGAATTTTCATCGGCGACTGGTGCCGTAGATTTCCGACATCGCTGACGGATACTCCGTACCGACAGGAGCACCTGCTACGGACGTTTTCGGCAAAGCAGAACTTACCGTGGAATCCACGGTAGGTTTCAATGATTATTATCGAGTCATATTCATTTTATTTTTAAAACAAATACCCCTGGCCGCAAACCGGGCGATGCCGCAAACCGGAGACTCTACTCTAGGCCTACAACATTGATATCACCTAGCCATAGCGTGCACTGTCAGCTGTCTTCAGCACGAAGAACTTTGCATAGACTAGGTCTATATTTGTAGTCTACACTACAGTCCAGACCAGAGTACTACAGTGAGTCACTACGTCACACATGCTCCCATTGGCTGAACCACTCGAGTGGCTTCGAATTTAAGTGAGAGAGGGCCTAGAGTAGTGGCTCTGGTCTGCGGCCGATCGGCGGGAACTGCCGATTCTATTTTTATTGGAATACTCACAGAATACTTCAATACCCTCAATAAAGAGTCCATATACTTACTTATTAAATAGAAGTCACAAATAACCTAACTGACCCACAGCGTGGTCAGCATTGACCACGTTTCGAAATGCTTCGAGTTCCCCGGTTTGCGGGCACGCATTACCGGTTTGCGGCACGCGTACGTCACAAAGCTTTATGCGCTACGTCACGATGAAAGCATGTACCAAATTACTACGGGTAACCCAAATTCTCATGTTTATCTGTTGCTACGGTAAATTTGTCAAGTTTTAAACAATTTCACCTTTTCCTCGAATGGATCATCCCATCCGGGGGTAAGTACTACTAGAAACTATCGGGTCATAGCGGGTACACACATCAGCACACATACCATCATACACGATCCCGCATGTTATGTGTGTATTAACACCCCCCGCCGCAAACCAGAAAAAACACGTAATTCAGTGCCGGTTTGCGGTCACCCCATGCAACTAGCCATGCGGTGGCACAATCAAAATATCTGCGATAGGAGACGGACCACAGCCATCATACTTCCACAAAAACATCAAATTTCACCTCCAATCGGACAAATATCGGACAAATAGAGCTACAATACTGATCTAGTCATGCCTCGATCTCTTAACTTAAAAGTTAGCACCTGCTGGAATTTTCATCGGCGACTGGTGCCGTAGATTTCCGACATCGCTGACGGATACTCCGTACCGACAGGAGCACCTGCTACGGACGTTTTCGGCAAAGCAGAACTTACCGTGGAATCCACGGTAGGTTTCAATGATTATTATCGAGTCATATTCATTTTATTTTTAAAACAAATACCCCTGGCCGCAAACCGGGCGATGCCGCAAACCGGAGACTCTACTCTACATAAGTTCAATGGAGATTTGTTTACCTTCCATGTGTTCCCGATGATATCGAACTAATATAACGAGATCGAGTTTGCGATGTGGTTCTGCCGGATTAAAGGTCGTTTCGCTGTGTAGTGTGTATGCAAAATAGCAGTTTTCGCGTTGCCAATGTGATGCTAACTTTACAATAATAGTGATTAGTTTAGTGCGTGCTAACTTGCATGCACAGAGTTTACTGAATTTAGGGATTTCCCTGCACATGCGCCTTTTTAGTTAATGCTGTTAATTTACATAAAAGATAGGACAAGTCATCAGTTAATGTTTGTTCAGAGTTGGCTGCATGCATGTATATATCTACTAAAAAGTTATGCAAGCTCCAATAAGAAGTGTTTTTATCTGTGCAATTTCAGTTTGTTATGATAATTAACATAATTTTCCGTAACTTTAAAGTTAAGATACCTTACTATGACCCACACCAGTAATCCTGTTGATTGTTTGTTGCAGATTGCGATTCCTAATAACATCAAACTGCGATGTGTATCTTGGAACCAGGAGCATGGTTACATAGCATGCGGTGGTGAGAATGGCTTACTCAAGGTTCTCAAACTGGATTCAGGAGCTGGTATGTTGATTGGATATCTTAACCTACATGTAGGGTAGTAGCTAGATAACTTGGTTCTCAGCTGTCTGTGGCTGTTGAATGTGTCCTCAAAATAATGCTTGAAAATTGCTCATGAGTAAAATAAAATTTTGTTGAAACCCATTTATATTTATAAGGAATATATTGTTCAGTTAGTCTATTAAAGGTTGTTTCAGGCATTTGAAGGGCATCATTAAGCTAAATTAAATTTCAAGAAACTTCTTCAACTTTAAAAAGTTAACACTTGTATAAAGTATTAGGATAAAAAGCCTTCTTACATATAAGTATTGAACAAATCTAACAACATCATAAATTTCGCCTGTGCAGTCCACATGTTATTGAATATGATTATATGCAATATCTTTAATGTGGTGTTCATCAATAGCCACCAATATATAGTTCCACTGTATTGGATTGTGATGCTAATATCTGACTCAAAATACAAAAAACAGTCTCAATGTATTGTGTGTGTGTTGGAATTCTTCATCTTTCCTTCACTTACAGCTGAAACGTGTGCAGATGTAAATCTAATCCATTATGTTATGTTTTTGCACTTATAGGGAAAGATGCAAAGCAGAGAGGTCTGGCTGCACCGAGCAACCTCTCTATGAATCAGACACTGGAAGGACATGCTGGTAAGCTTTATTCATCTTTAACCCCCCCCCCCCCCCAAATAATGATAATCATGTGTGTGAGATGATACCCTTCAGGCTCTAAACAGAGAATATAGGGTCTTTATTAGTAAGTTACCCATACAAACGTACCACCAAGAGGAACTTCATTATCATGTAGTTATGCAATAAATAATGCATGTCCTGAAGTTTAATATTGTAGAACATTGATCAAGGTTTAAAATGCAGTTATACTTTCTTGAAGTCAAATGCAGTGCCAAATTCGGAATTATGAGGATACAATTTTATACTCTATTAAGACTATTTAATGATCTTGTCCCATTCTTTTACTCCAGTCACCAATGTGAATACCTTTATCTCAAAGTTATTTCATATGTAATGCATGCATTTATTTGTCAATATTTATATTTGCTTCTCCCAATTGTTTTTGGAAAAAGGATGAAGCATATTGTTTATTGACATAGACACAGGGTCTTCATGTGATCTTGATTTGTTTCTATGTTGTAGGTGCTGTACAAGTAGTCACTTGGAATTCTCAGTATCAAAAGCTGACATCAAGTGACGAGTATGGCCTCATCATCGTATGGATGTTCTACAAAGGTAATTCTGCCCATCCATACTAGTACCATTAATAGAGTACTCAGTAGTCGATCAAAACTGACTAGGAAGAGTACTGTGAACATTGTTAAAGGGCAGGTTTTTCCAGTGACTTGAGCCTTAACATTTATGTCTCATGATTGTTTGTTAGAAATGAATCCTTGCTGGAAAATGTTGGTGCATCTGGGTTGCATTAGAACAATGTCTTAAAGCATTAGACAACTTTTGTGTATTTAAGAAGAAAGTGTTCAATATCAAAGATTGAGTCAGTCTTTATTTAATATGTAATTCATATTTAAATACCTTGTCATTTTTGTTTATATCAAGTTTATGCTTTTTAAGTTGTCATTATTCTTTTGTGGGAAAGAAGCTTAATGTGAGATACCCAGGAATGTTAAACTGTGTGTGATTTGAGACTTTGATTATGTTTGGTTTGATTTTAGGCTGCTGGTTTGAGGAGATGATCAACAATCGAAACAAGTCTGTTGTGAGGAGTATGGCATGGACATCAGATGGGCAGAGAATCTGTATTGTCTATGAAGATGGTATGTTATTATCATGAATCAAGATTTATATAACACTTCAGTCAGTAATATCTTGTTACACAGAAAAGTCTCATAAATTACGCCAGTCTCTCTTCTTTGATTTATGTTGGTTTTTAGATCTGATTTAAACAGTTTTTACCAGCAAATTAATTTCCTAGGATTCCAGGATGTTATTTGGGATTGCTGCACTAATCTCTTTGAGTGTTTTACAGTAATTAGTTATTCACAAAACCCCATTTTAGACCTGGATAGGTTGCGAGTGATGACCAATTATACAAGTTAGGGGCATCAATAGTCTCATAAATTTGAAGGATATACAATATAAAGATGTACATTGTAGAGATCATGTTGTAAAACATTGTGGTTTAATTTAAAATTATGAAAATGGTAATGAAAGAAGAGTGGAATTTTCTGTAGGTTGCAGAAAATGATAAATGGGGGGGGGGGGGGAAGTTGATGCAAGTGAAGCTTTAAAATAACATCTCCCTATTACCTCTCTTATAGGTGCTGTGATTGTGGGGTCTGTTGATGGTAACCGTATCTGGGGTAAAGAACTGAAAGGAATGCAGTTATGTCAGGTGGAATGGTCACCTGACTCTAAAACCATTCTCTTTGGGATGACTAATGGAGAGCTACATATCTATGACAACCAAGGAAACTTCTGTGTAAGTCTTCAAACACTATTTGAGTACAAAGTTTGTTTGTCTCTTAAAGCATGGTATTGTACAACTTATAGAAACAGATCAGTCAAAACCTGTTTACTGAGACCACACAGGGAAACAGAAAATGTGGCTATTGTAGACCACATATTTCGAGAAGAAGAACATGATTCATTTTAGAAAAAAGCATTAAAGATGGCTACTATAGACAGATTGCTTGTTTCGACAAGTAGCCACATAGAAAGATTTGACTGTGTTTTCTCATTATATGTACCATAGTATCCATCTCTTTAGAGTGATCCCATATTAAGTTCTTAGCTGGGTAATGTTGGAGCGCCTTGAGGACCTTGCAAGGTCGATACGTGCGCTATATAAGAATCCAATATCATTATTATTATTATTAAGTATAAACCCAAGCAAGATGTTACATTCTTGCTGTAGCACTTCCCTGATAAGGCCATGGCTACAATTTATTTAGGGAAACCTACTTGTCTTGATTTAACCCCTAATTATAAGATTTGATTACCGATATGTAACATGTATTACTTTGAATGATAACTGTCAATGTTCTTATTTTAGTCTAAATTGACTGCCTTCTGTCTGACGAATGCGACTGGAGCTGTACACCTTGCTGGTGTAGATTGGTATGATAGGAAGCATGGTTTAGTGGAGCCTGGCTGTCCTACCCTAGCTATCTGCTATGATAATGGTAGAGCACAGATCATGAGAGATGAGACTGATGATAGTAAGTTAAACATTTATCTTTAAAAGATAATGAGTTGTGTGAATTTTTTTATTTTTTATTTTTTCCATAATTTTTCTCTGTGTGCCACTTCAGACCTTTGCTTAACTCCAGAGAATGTGAAGACTAGTCTCGTTGATTTTGAAGTTTCCTTTGGTCCTTTGTTTATCCATCTCACTAAAAGTAAAACAACTCTTTTAAAGCCTGACTGTCCTACTTGTAGCTACTTGCTCCCTCTATATAGAAAACTTCCCTAATCGGTGCCTGTTGGGCCCCCATGATCCTCTATTTCTTCTGTTATTTGAGAGCTGAGTTGATGAGATAGCCACCTGTCGGTGACCTCGCTGTGTGGTCTAATCCCTCCTAGCCACACTAGTGTTGATAAGCTTTAAAAGAAAGACTGAGAAATATTGTAATTAAATTGTAAATTTCCAAAATAGTAATAAAGACATGTGGATTTGAAAACATTGTCAAGATATACTATGGTAATGTAGTGATGATGTTCAGGCTTGTTCCTATTGTAGCTGTCGAACCATTTTCATTTGTACAATATCATCTTGTTCTAGACCCGGTGCTGATTGATACCGGCATGACAGTCGTCAAAGTGATGTGGAACTACAATGGATCAGCCCTGGCTGTAGCTGGCTCACAGAAGTCTGCACAAACTGACAAGGATGTCAATGTCGTCCAGTTCTACAATCCGTTTGGAGAGGTATATGATACTATGTGAATGAAAAATTGAGTGACAACAGTTTAATTAAAATATGAATTCCTTTTCTAATTTCATATTTTCCTAGGGAAACCTTGCAGTGAAATCAACATGGAATTCTGTATTTCAGTCTAGATCAGTCATAAAGCTACTTGTACAGGTAAAGTTCAATTCACGTTCTATAAACTGAAAGTAACTGTTAACTGTGATCTTGTATTTCAGCATATGCGAACCCTGAAAGTTCCAGGTAGTGGTCTATCTGCTATATCATGGGAAGGAGGTGGACTACGGATTGCTCTGGCTGTGGACAGCTATATCTACTTTGCTAATATTCGGCCTGACTATAAGTGGGGTTATTGCGCTAGTACTGTGGTTTACTCCTTCACCAAGCCAGAACGAGTGGAGAACTGTGTCGTCTTCTGGGATACCCTCAACTCTGAAGTAAGTATGAAAGGGACAAGAAGAGTTGCTCCATTCAAACGTCTCAATATTTACTCCATGAGAATGGGAACGTGTTACAATGCGTCTGTGTGTATTGGTTTTTTTACAGACGTGTATCAATCAGATATGATTATTTACGTCTGGGGACTGACCTTTAAACGTCACCATCTGAAAGACTTGACTCGGTTTTGAACCTGCGTCCTCGCCTGAATCAGTTTGTAACTTCCACTGTTAGCTGGATTACAGGCGCACGCCTAATGCATAAACACCATGTAAATGTATTTGGTTTCTTTCAATATCATAAGCGTTTATGAGTACAGTTTAACAGTCATGATGGGCATTAATCAATGCTTAAGCCTACTGACTCATTCTGTTTGTTCATCTCAGTGCATTGACAAGGGTAATTATTACCAAGAAGGCTTATTGATGCAAGTGTATGATTATGATGCAAATACCAGTCAAGTTTGTTTATCCAATCATTATCATTGTTTCTTTGGATCTTTCAGAGATATGTGAAGTATGTGAAGAACCTATTATCTGTGACAGCGTATGGAGATCACTGTGTGTTAGCTACAAGAGCTGATGAAACTATGGGCCAAGTGGTGAGCTATACTCATATACCTACTCAGTATTTTTGTTTTTTGGTAATTTTATTTGGTAATGACCATTTTAGTCATGTTCCTGCCATCACCAGTCTCAAGAAATTTCACAAATCTATGTCATGATGATGAGGATGATGGCTTCTTGTATAGCTCCAGTATTCACCTCTATTGGGTGATTTGAGAAACTCGTACTTCTTGTCAAATTTGATGTAATAAGTTACTATTACAATTTCATATCAAGAGTTACATTAACCATCTTAAATTTGATTTACTGTTTGTGTTGAAACATACTCCATATCACTTTTTGCATATCATGTATTACAAAAAGTGAAACCCCAATATAAATCCTGTTAAGAGTAAAGTTACATATATATTGTAGTATCTGTCTGCATTGACACTGAATTTAGATACATGAGACAAGTGCAAATATAACCAAGGCGTTTATGCAAGTATGAAGATCTATGGGTGTGCATCTACATGTATTGATATTTTTTTTCTTTTTTTTAAGGGGGGGGGGAGGAGGATATTACATGATAATATACAGATGTCAATGATTGTATAGTTGAGATAGAATTTTGTATAAGTAAAAGCATATTGCTTAAAATCATCAAATGTCATTTCATGAACCACTCATTTCCATGGCAACAGGATCCCTCAGACCCAGTACAGGTAACTTGTGTAGTGTTCAATAACTTCAATTTGTTTTTGTCAGCTTGCAGTGAATTTTTTTGGGAATTAAAAAAAGAAAAATTGAAATAGAATGAAGTGAAATATTATTTGTGTTCAGAATTTCTCAATACACTGTTGTCCATTGATTTGTTACGCTCTTTTCCCAGTAAGCATTTCATTAACATCTTATGTGAATTTCTGTTAGTCATGGTTTGTACTTGAGCTTTCCTTTGTTCCCTTTTAACCCTTACTGTACTGGGGGGGGGGGGGCCTGGGAGGCCCCCCCCCTCGACATTTTCGAAGATTGCGCCGCAACCGCTTGAAATTTTGAATTGTCGTTTCATGACTTTTTCCCCTCAAGTCTTACGCACGTTTTGATACCATTTTCGTCGCAATCGGATATACCTGTGAGGTGTTACATAACAATTAGTATGCGCATGTCATCAAAAATATGCTGTAATTGCATATATTCATGTACAAGCAGAAATGTAAATACAGGTTTAGACGTATTCCTTCCTAAGTGGGTGATATGAATTGATATCGAATTGCTTTTATATGTTTCTCAAAGTAACTTTATGTATTCCAGAACAAAAGAATACATAAGAAATAAAAACAATAGATATAATAAGAAATAAAAAAAACAATAAAATACATAAGAAAATAAATATTTGAAAATCGCATCAAATTTGCATAAATTATCATTATTAATTACATCAAAATAAATATTTTGCGTTAGAAAAGAAGTTTCATGTGAATAATGAGTTTCAACATTCAAAAAGTGGAGTTTGACACATTTTCTGTAAAATGCATAAAATTAGCATTTTGCATAATTAATTAGGCTATAACGACAAAAATTTGCATATTCGCAAAAAACTAATTACACCATCTTGTTCGTTACGTAAATATCTACAAACATGCAAATTTTCGTGTTCATCGGACATCCGACGGCCGAGATCATAGGGGGGGGGGGCCTCCCAGGCCCCCCCCCCCCCCCCAGTCAGGAGGTGCTCAAAATAGCCCAGTACAGTAAGGGTTAAACCTGTTCGGTGGACAGTGGAGGCCGAAGTCATCATACCTTTTTTTTGAAAACTCAGGCCTTCTGTCACAGTATTTCACATTTGAAAGCCCTGTTCTAATCATTCTTTCAACTAATCCATCCATTTTTCCCCTTTTCATCTATCGGTATCATGTTTATATTGTGTATTGTTTGTGAAGCAGTAGAATCATCACAAGACACATGCGTGAGACCTGAAGAAACACATCTTGCTCCCATCACTAGTTTACCCATTTTCTCTATACTAACCCATGTATATATATATCCATGTTCACAAAGTCTTTCATTGATGTATTGGTTTGTAGGGGGGGGGGGGATCAATTTGAGTATGATTGCTTTTACTATCATCACAATTTGCAGTGATTACAATCCTCCCTATTCATTGTTTTGCTCCTTACATATAAAGTGAACAGAGGGTAAAGTGATCAAGTATTTCTGAAACACATCAAATTTACAAATAAGTTCATTTTGCCTTTTCACTGTAAATTTTAAACACTGATCTGAAGTGATTGACATGACTCGTAAATTCAAGTGGTTCTATTCATACATGGTGCTGTCTAATGGCAAACCATGATGACTCATAAATTCAAGTGGTTCTATAACCTCTATTCATACATGGTGCTGTCTAATGGCAAACCATGAAATGAAATTTAAGAAAATGGCAGTTAAGCTTGCAGTTAAGCTATTCTAAATTTCTCAACTTCTGTCTTTAAAAATAAATCAATCCAGTTAAGTGTGACTGCTACATGTACGGTATGCCAAGAGTGATATGTTACTCAATGTACTATGAAGATGAGTTGGTAGTTGGTAAAAAGTAGGAATGGGAAGATGTATGTTGAATGAATGTGTTGACTTGCTCAGCGGCCTCAGCCTCAACTGGTTATAAAGTGCAACTAAATATGCTTCTACTCTTTATATAATTAAAAAGTATAAAGCAATATATACATGCAAGTTGTTTGAAATCTTAATCCTATGTTATAACAGAGTGAATCTACGTACATGCCGAATTTACAAATTCTTAGAAACATTGTTCTGTCTTTCATTCTACTCAATTTTCTTTTATATACATTGTAGTGACGGGAAAAACATCAATTATTATAAAGTGATTTATATATACCTTCAACACTGAGGTACCCATTGTGATATATATAGGAATGGCTTGAGTTGATATAGTGTTTGTATGTTTTGTTTACAGTATGTACTGGTATTGTGCAACTGCATTGGTACTCCTCTGGAATCTAAGTACATTGATATAGGTGAGTGTGTAGCGATTGCTCACAGCCAATTAAACGTAACAAATTCAGTAGCTGTCGGTCTGTTCAACTCGTAACCATGTTTTATGAAATAATGCTGAGGTTTGGTATAACCATAATCAACAAGACATACATTATTATTGCATTTTAGATTTTTCATAGTCCTGGATACATGTATTTGTTAGGGTTCGTACAAGAATATGCTATGAGAGAAGATAATGTACACCCTTTGTGGATTGTGGTTTACCTTCAGTGTTATACTTCATTTACAATACAATATGGAAAAGAAGATTTGGTAAATATGAATTAACTTAAATTTCATTCAAAACTGTGAATGATTTGATGTATTCATCAAATGGAGCAAGCCTATGACAGAACAAAGGATTTGTTTTGGTATCATGTTTCTTTGGGTTTCTTTCTACCATGCAGAGCCATCCTTTGTTGCTGTGACCAAGACCCATGTGATAGCAGCCTCCAAGGAAGCCATCTATATCTGGCAGTTTAAAGCTGCTAAGAAGATCACAGCCATGGAGGTGAATACTGCTATGGGACGTAAGAAGGATTCAAGAGAGAAGGTTTATCATGTAGATGATACTCCTTCAGGTGCTGGTGATGGTGTACTGGACTTCAGCAAGGCATTCGCTGTAAGTAGAACCTACACATTGGCATAGTTTGTGACTCTTTTAACTTCAAATATGAATTGTGATTTCATGTATTTTTGATTAATCTTTGTTGTAGGTAGAAAACAACTTCACCAAAGTTTGCTTTGGTGGGATCATTTAGAGAAATGACATCTTTACATGTTTAAAGTCGATTGTGTATTGGAATCCTGTAACTAAGTATAGCTGATTTGCCAAAGGGTTAATATTTCATATATAATATTGTTTTTGAGCCTAGATGGCAATCTGGCACCAAAGTAAGAAGTTTCAGGAAGTTTAGAAAATAGAGAGAAACAGATTGAAAATGGATTTCATTAGAAAAGTAATAACTAATGCTACAGTCACACGGCCATGTTACGGACCTGCGGATGCTTACGTATATTTCATCCGCAGCAAAATTTTGAGATTTTCAAAATTCCGCTGCGGATCTGGGTATGTCTGCGGATCCTGCGGATTGAATTACGGATGGATACGGATGCTTACGGATGATACGGATCCTTGCGGATGCTTACGGACTTTTATCCGTAAGCATCCGCAGCTACCGTAAGTGGCCGTGTGACTGTGCCATTAAATGATTAATGATATGAGTGTATGTATCTTGTTCTCTTTCTCTGACAGCCTACCAGAGATCCAATCTGCTGTGTAACAGCCTCTGACAAGGTGTTGATTGTAGGACGTGAGTCTGGTACACTTCATCGCTACTCACTGCCCCATGTAGCACTGGTCAACAAACATGTGGTGAACTGCAGACCACATGCCCTCTCCCTTAACTGTACTTCAAGGTAGAGATAGAGAACCTTCTCTCTTTGTTTGTTTTTCATTCATGTCCTTCAAAAATAATAACTCTCACGCTTCATTTCAATGTTGAGGAGATATAAGATGAATAAAGTGTAAGTTTTATGGTATTTACGTTTTTAGTTTCAAACTGTGTGGACCTCGGTATTGTATGGTGAATTTATTAACTTGAATTTTAATTTAAAATTTAAAATTGCAATTTCTTGCAAAGACAAGGCATGTTGTCTTTCTCATGTGTAAGTAAGTGGTTCAGTTGTACCTTATAGCTTTCATTTCTTGAAGTGCATTGCCACCTTATCATAGCAAAGACTGGTGAATTGTTTCATAAGTTCCACAATCTATAATCATAGAAAATATAGTGGAAGATGATAACAGCTGTGCTACATGTATTGTATAGTACTTGTGATAACTGACATAATCTGAATGTGATTCCTTTGTTGCAGTCGTCTTGCAATCATTGACATCGCTGGGATCTTGACGTTCTTTGACCTTGACACCAAGTGGGTGAATCCTGAAGGTCAAGAGATCATAGGTCAACCATTACAGTTTGAGAGGAAGGATGTATGGGATATGAAGTGGGCTGAGGATAATGCTGAACTCATTGCGATGATGGAGAAGACAAGGATGTACATCTTTAGAAACCTGGACCCAGAGGTAAGAATCATAATCACAATGTTATGTTAAAGCCAGTCTGTACTAGTTTGGCCAGGAGGGATTAGACCTCCCAGCATAGGCACTGACAGGTGGCTATCTCATCAACTCCGCTCTCAATTAATATGAGAAAAAGAGGATCATGGGGGACCAACGAGCAACGCTCAGGCATTGTCTGCTATATAGAGGGAGCAATTAGCTACAAGTAGTGCAGTGGGGCTTCAAACTGGTGACAATGAAAAATGACAATCACAACATCATAGCACAATGAGGTATATACAAATTACTACGAGGAAAATCTCACTATTATGTGCATTAGGGATTCTAAAAATATACCTGTGAAACAAAAGATCAATTCTCGCTGGTGCTTGGCTTGCAGCACTTTGTCAACAATTGTGTATTCAGTGCCTCTTAACTTAAAAGATGTCACAAGATATAAATAGGAAGCACATTTCACTGAATGTTTGTTCTTTGTTTTTTAGGAGCCTATAGTGAGTTCAGGTTACATCTGTAAGTTTGAGGATCTTCAGATTACGAGTGTACTATTGGATGAAGTGATGCAGGACCGTGAACATCCTGGCAAGGAATGTATGGTGGAACTGGATATCAAGGTAGGTCAACTCAACAAGAAACAACTCCCAAGTCTCCTACACTCAAGAAACAGAGACTTTCACTAAGTTAGGGAGTGGTCTAGTTGCGCAAAAATTTCTTGCCATGAAAACAGCCGTTGGAAAGTTTCAAGTTGAAAAATTATCTAGTGTGACAGTACTCTACTATTTTATTGGTTTTACATCTCAAAACTCTCCAAGCAGTAATAATTAAGTATGAAATCATACATAGTGTGATAACGAATGAATGAGTGAACCAACCAATCAGACCTAACTATACAAGTAGTGAAGAGAGGATCAAGATTATCCTACATTACTCGTGTATGCATGTTAATCAAATCTTGTTATTATACAGGTCTTTTATTGATTCTATCATTGCATATTGGTTAAATAATGATCATAGACCATTGCATCGTCGGAAGACTTACAAAGCTAACATTGTATTATTATGTATTTATCAGAGTCTGCGAGACACATGTGATCTATTGGAGAAGGTTGGGATTGAAGATGCAGCTCAATTCATTGAAGACAACCCTCATCCAAGACTCTGGTATGTATTTGTTTAGGATTCACTGCTACATCTCTTAGTTTTTAATCAAAAGTATACAATTTATTGAAGTTGTTGCTGTTGTTGTTGTAAAACAAGAAATACTGAAATTCATCTGCAATAGAATATGCTATCCCTTAATGTCTCCTGTAGAAATAATATACCTTGTTCTTGTATAAGAATTAGAGAAAGATCTTGATGTTATTTTTGTTAAGCGTCTGTTGGCAGTGAATGCAATACTCTGTATCTAGATATTATTTTGTTCAGTGTCTATTGGCAAAGAATGCTATACTCTCTCTCTTAATTTACTTTGTTAGGCGACTGTTGGCAGAGAAAGCGATGGAGACTCTAGATCTGAAGGTAGCAGAGCAAGCGTTTGTTCGTTGCCGTGACTTCCAGGGTATTGAGTTTGTGAAGCGTCTTGGAAACCTGCAAAGTGAGACGATGAGAAGCGCAGAAGTAGCTGCATACTTCAAGAGATTTGAGGAAGCAGAAAGGATGTACAGAGACATGGATAGGAGGTAAGATCATTGAAATCAAATATTCTAAGTTAATGGATTGTGCATGAATCACTATTTTCAAATGAGAAATTCCTTGAACATGCAGACATTTCACCTCAAGAGATATGTCCCTCATTTTATAAATTAATGAAGAGACATGAAAATGGAAAGGGGAAAGGCAAAATAAAAGAAAGAGAGAGAGAGAGAGAGAGAGACAGACAGACTTAGTGTCAGAGAGAGAGAGAGAGAAAGAAAGAAAGAAAGAAAGAAAGAAAGAAAGAGGGGGGGGGGGGGGGTTGGTAGATTCTTTTAACCATTTTTGACTGACAAATGATTTAACATTTTTGCTAATGTGAGAGTACTTTTTTGTTTTGTTGTAGGGATCTAGCAGTGAACCTACGTATGAAGCTTGGTGATTGGTTTAGAGTAGTACAGCTTCTTAAATCAGGCGGAGGTGGTGATGATGTTCAGATGCAACAAGCTTGGAATGCTATAGGTGATTACTATGCTGATAGACAGAAGTGGGCCAATGCTGTCACGTATTACCTACAGGTAAGTCTCGTCAAATGACAACAGTATATCATATCAGTCAGTACATACATTAATGTTGGGCACTTGTCAGTCTACTTTAAAACCAGAGTCTTGTGTCTGCATGACATTTCCACAAATGTGGGGAGTTGATACAAATTTAGAGGTTTTATTTAGAAAGTAATTATAAAAGGGAATTTTATTTATGAATGCTTATGCTTATTATTTAAAACTACAGTTGTATATTATTATTTTAAATATAATATCACTAATTGGAATATAAAAAATGATTTTTGGAGCATATATATGATTATTACACATTTTATAAAGATCCTGTTTTTGCACCATACAGACCCCCATCCCCTTTTTACACTGAGCAAATGATATATAATTCAAACTTTTTAATGATCGATGTTTGATTTTACAGGGTAACAATCAGGAGAGATTAGCAGAATGTTACTACATGCTGGAGGACTTTGCTGGACTTAACAAGCTTAGTGATGCATTACCTGAGAACCACTTACTCTTACCAGTAAGTTCATTCATCTTTCATTCATTGTCAAACCATATAAGTGAAATCTTAAAGAATGGCATTGAAGAGAGCTTTTATCTTCCACACGTTGAGTAACCCACAAGATTGTCTCTATTCAATACTATTCTTTAAGAACCAATCATCTCTTAAGTACTATCTGCTTAAAATAATCTGAACTCTTAATACCATGCCATCATGCTTATATCACAAGTAATATTTTATGCAACAAATTTGTAATCATGGTTCAATTTTACATAGTTAATCTTGATAAAGAGTACTGGTCCATAACTTAAGCTTCAAAAAGTTCTTGTGATCCTGTTATGAATTTCAAGGAGAACAAAAAGCTTCTCTGTAATAAAAAATGTAAACCAATATCTGTCTCAATGTATACATTTATAAGCAAGTCTGGCACGGTATTGATGACAAGGAGTGTGTCATTGCTGTTGCTTGCTAGACATGTGTAAAGATGCAAGAAAAAGCCTTACCAATATTTGTATGTTTTTCGTCTCATATATGTCTTTTTTTCAGGACATAGCATCTATGTTCATGACAGTGGGTATGTGTGCTGAGGCTGTGTCTGCATATCTCAAGTGTAATGAAGTCAAGAAGGCTGTAGATTGCTGCGTACATCTCAACCAATGGGACCAGGCTGTTGAGTTAGCCAAGAAACATCATATCAGAGAGATTGATAGTCTCCTAGCTAAGTATGCTGCTCATCTCCTGGATAAGGATAAAACCCTTCAAGCTATTGAGCTGTATCGCAAGGCAAATCATTACCTGGATGCCGCTAAGCTTATGTTCCAGGTAAGAATTACGAAAATTCTCTTGGTACTCTCTCTCTCTCTCTAAAGAAAAGGAGACAGTTTTAATGAAGGTTTATAAGGCTTTATAAACTAATGGATATCTCATTAAGGATTGAATTCATACCTCATTATTCATTCTTAAAATTCAAAGTAAATTAGGATTATGTTAAGTTTGATATATTCATTTATCACAAGAGGTACAAAAGTAGCATCATTAGGCTTTTCATTTCTTAACAAATCTATGATATTCTTTGCAGTTAAGTATGATGAGTTTTGAATGGTGTGTCATTCAGCTCTGACTAATAAATCTTGATATTTTCTGTTGGGAATGCCAGCAATTTGTTACATTTTTTCTTCTTCAGAGCAGTATTTAAGGTTGTAGAAGCTTAAAATGCTAAGCAAATTTGGCAGCTGTGTAGTGATGATGGTGTTGATGTTTAATGATATTGTGATGATGTCCTTTGGCAAGGCATTAATCTTCATTTGCCACACTCAACCCAGGTGAGGTAAATGGGTACCTGGCAGGAATTTATTCTTTGAAATGCTGGAGTGCTGTAATGGCAGCTAGGCTAAAGCCGGGGTAATAATTAATGCGCCTCTGAATAGAATTTCTAGATAGACAGCACTATAGAAATGCCTATAATTATTATTATTATTATTATGGTGATTATAACGCTTCATGTGTTGTATCGTTGACTGCACAGACTGCTGAAACTGAAGGCAAGAAGAAAGTGAAGCCTCTGAGGACCAAGAAGATCTATGTTCTAGGAGCATTGCTGGTAAGACCATTCTAAACCTTCTCAATAAGTGGGATGTGTATTTCATGCTGTGGTACCACGGTATTGTGTAAAATACAACAATAGTTAGAGATTGAATGTATAAGACTAGATTTGTTTCCATCTATCAGTCCATTTATTGATTAGTCATAGATTTTGAGTTCACCACCCCCCCCCCTTCTCAGCCTAAATATGTGAATAACATGCCAGCCTGCAGGAATTGAAGCATTTAAGCCAGTTCATAGTTGCAGTCTGAGCATGAGCAGATAAAGGTCATTGCAGACCAAATTATGAAAAACACAGAGACAAAATACTGGCTACGTGCTCATGATAGTTATGTAAGACCCGAGGGTTACAGTGATTCAGTTCGCTTTTTACCTCCCAAGCACAGGTGACACCACATTAATAATAATAATATTCATTTATGCACAAGCAGTGCACTCCATTGTACACAGGTGGAAGTATTCTTTGAAAAGGGGAAACTGAAAGGCTTTTTATGCACCTCCATCGCTGTAGGAGTTATTATTTCAAAATGTACAAAGTGGGACCTCTTCAGGTTTTGAAAATCTGTGGATATTCGGCGTCATTTGGGACATGTGCTAACCATGAACTGGTCTATTCTCTAAGCATGGATAAAAAGGTTAGCAGGATTATTATATAATTTGTGTGACTTTCCTTTGTAGGGGAAATCCCCTTTGAGGGAAGGATTATCCATTACTTGCTTCTTTGTGATTTATTCTTTGTTCCCAAGTGTCTCTACTCTAGGTGAATTCAAGATGAACAATGCTGAAATCACAGATAATCCTGAAATAATCACTATACCTTGAATAATCCTCGCTCTTTACCCCTGCTATTATATCATTGATATTTTAGACGACATCTCTACCTTGTATTTTGTATATATATTTTTATACACTTTTTAAAAAAATGTCTAGATTGAGAACTATCATGAGCAGATGAAGGTCCAGTCTAAACTCAAGACTAAAAGCAAGAGGACAGAGGTATGTATTCTCTCAGCTCTATATAAAGCCTAGTCCATATTGTACAAAGTAACGAATTTTCAATTGGGGTATTAAAGGTACCGTATATGGAAAGATGGAAAATATGAAATATCTGTGATAAAATTTGAAGACAATGTAAAGTCTGTTTTTGTATAGATAATTGGTGTACTGAATACTACTGATACAAGACAAGATATTCATATTTTGTAAAATGGAATCTGATATTACCTCTATAACCACTCTATATACCGTGGCTTACTCATTTATTACCTCATTCATTATGTATGTTTATCATATTTGCATGTGTATCACTGTCCTGTAATATTTCATTTATATATTTGTATTGTATTACTTTGTAACCAGTGGTAACCAAATTTCCTGATATGGATAATAAATGATTATAATTATACTTATATGCAATCCATACATAGCTTGAAACGATTTGTCAGTACTTGATTTTGTTTTGCATCATCAGGCAAGTTCTGCTCTAGCTGGTCTGTTAGAAGAGGAAGCCTTAGCTACATCAGACACCAAACTGATTGATAATGCATGGAGAGGAGCTGAGGCATATCATTTCATGCTACTTGCTCAGAGACAACTCTACCAAGGTACATTCAATCTCACTTTCACAGTATTTGCTTGACTTTTCTCAAAATAATCACTAATTGGTTTCTCAGATTTGACTGATTTCAATCAATGCTTTCTGCTATTAAGATGTGAAACCTTGTGTGGTATTTCACAATCCACGTCGTGACCGCCATATCATTTTTAATAGTTACTTGCCTATATTCACCTATACATGTACCTCCGGGTCCCTGTTTCATAAACGTTACCGTCAATGGTAAGTTCCTTGGAAACCTTGATTATATTGGCTGTTGAGTGATGTTGCCATGGTAGTTTATATTGATGGTAAGTTTTACGCAAGAGCCCCCAGATCAGTTTTCCAAATCAGTATTTCTGTACAAGGTTATCTGTACAAGAATATTGCTTGAATGTTCATGATTGCCATAAATGTGTTGAAAATTGGATGGAAGATATGTGGTCATGACCAAGTGTTTTGTTAAGTAACTTGAAATTCATCATGATGAGAGTAAAATATACCAGTTTGCAATTAAGGTAACATGGAAATTGTAGAGTGGGACCTGACATGAATGAACTATGGCATTGCAGCATTCTATGGGGTGTTAGGAAGAGGAAAGTAAGTTGTAGGTGAACAGTATGTATGCAAATATTTATTACCATTGTTGGTACTCTTGTGCTGGATAATATACCGTAGATTAATATACATTGTGTCATTCCCTCTCTTCAGACCTGTGGATATTAAATGTGTGACATTTATCTCTCTTGTCTTGTAGGCTACGTGGATGCTAGTATGAAGACAGCATTGCACCTGCGTGAGTATGATGATATCTTGGATCCTGTAGACATCTTCTCCATCTTGGCTCTAGCTTCCTGTGCTAACAAAGCATTTGGAACATGCTCTAAGGCTCTCTCCAAACTAGAGACATTAGAAGGACTGAGTGTGGACCAGAGACAGCAGTATGAGGACCTGTCCTTACTCATCTTTACAAAGTAAGCATTCACAAGGATGAAAATCAACTGTTTGTAAAACATGTTGTATAAATGAATAGGAAGATTAAAGAGCAATAACGTAGAGTATAACGTAGAACAACGAATATTATGTAGTGAATGAGTGAAACGAGCATTGAGTAAACGTGAATATATTACAAACTTTAAAGTGTGAAGACTGATAATATATGTATTAAACAATATTTTAACACATCAATTGTTTGACCTCCTGGTTTCCACAACTTTCAGTAGCTTTTCGATCCAAACGGTATGAACAACTTCTTGAAAGTGAAACTTTCTTCTTCCTTCCTGATGCAAGCAGGATTGGTGCTTGGCATATCATTACACTTCTCAGAATTAGTATACTTGGAAGTCTTATCCAATGGGGTCATTGTTACTATGTACCTGTGGGCTGGCTGGGTGTGAATGACCAACCAGAGATTGACTCATCATAAGAAAATTGTTGCTAAGGCAGATAGTGTACCAATGACCAATAAACAATAATTATACCTTTTTTGTGCAACTAATTTATGAACAATTCCTAATTGGCATTCAACTTCAGAATTTTTGTATTATTTAGGTTTCATGCCGCTTCTTACCGGTAGATGTTGATGATGATGATGAAAATGGAGATGGTGGTAATGGTGGTGGTGATGATGATGTTCATTTTAATGATTATATTATTTGTGATAATATGTGATGATAATACTGGTAATGATAAAGATGATTTTGATTCTTATATATTCAAGGCTTCTTGTATTCTTCTATTTGTTTTATCAGGCATTCTCCCAAAGATGCTCGTAGTAACAAGGTGGAGTGTCCCAACTGTGATACTGTCATTCCGGACTCGTAAGTATTATTAATTATTTCCCAATTTACTCCTTTTTATTTTAGAGAACTGCATTCTCACATATATCTTTACTGCACTTTCACCATGGCAACTCACATTGCTAAAACTTCTATTGTGTTTAGAACATTCTCATTTGAAGAACATTATAACAAACCTGGTTTAACTATAAGGATGCGTAGTGCCACTTAAAGGTTATTATGGATTCTCCTAATTTACTATGGTCTTTCAGCTCTCTCTAGTTACAATTTTGTATTATTATTATTATTATTATTATTATTATTATCATTTTTTTTGCTGGGGGGGGGGGGGGGATATTTTTTATTAATTGTAGGGGAAATGGATACTTAATGGTGTATTGCTCGAAGCATGTGGATATCATATGTAAGTACATGAATCTCTCACCCTTTTTTTCTATACCAGATTGGGAGTGTGTGTGAACTGCGACACCAAGTTCCCAACCTGCATCGTTACAGGGCGCCCTCTATTGGACTATCAGTTCTGGATGTGTAGTACATGTAAACACAGAGCGTATGAGAATGACATCCGAACCATGTCTACATGCCCTCTCTGTCATGCTGAAATATGAACATGCTGTCATGTAGGATGAAGATGCAGGAAAATCTCATATATGATGAGTTCTGATGAAGATACCTATTTGTTTTTGAGCTAAATACCAAGGTCCCAAATTCACTTGATGATTACAAGAGCTGCTTGATGAACTTTAGAAAACAATTCTGTAGTAACAAGCAGGCTCTGATGGCTTGACAACTTGTAAATTATTATTATCTCATTCCTTTACATAACAAGGAATAGTACGATGTAGTGCATGTACTTACATATGTTCATGTACCGGTACTGTACAAAAGGCAGCCAAGACAACTTATTGATGTCATATTTCTCTTGGATGTAATGCAGTCTGCATGTAGTGCATTTCGTATTAGTCTACCATCTTGAAACTCGATGTGTCATACCAGTAATAATTACTATTATGATGGCGTTACATAATGCCTGTTAAAGGAACAATATTATTTATTAGCCCTTACTTTTTTTAAACATTAATATAGCAATAGAACCTTGTTGCGTTAGTTTTGTTTATGTGTTCACCCTGGCTCTTGTCCAATATACACATGTACATAGAATACAAGGGAAATGCTCTCGGTAGTCTCGCCTGCATAACGCAATTCAATATGATAAACCAGAACGTCAAATGACGTAGCGCTCATCCGCATCTCGCAACAACAAATATCGTAAATTTTATGTGGTACACTTTTGAACTGGTCAAAAAATAAAAATTTGATGCCCTGGAAGGGACATAGTTTCATTTCATTTGCATAAAGTACCATAAATAATCAATGGAGCAAAATCTCAAAATTCTGTGTAGAAGTTTAGTGTTCCAAATTTAGCTCTACCAGATAAGGCAAATCAAATCAAAATCGGTCAAGAAATGAGGGAGAAGAAGCAATTTTTGTTATTTTTGGAATAAATTTGCATAGATTACCATAATTAATTAATGGAGAACAATTTCAAAATTCTGTGTAGAAGTTTAGTGTACCAAAGTTAGCTCTACGATATAAAGCAAACCAAATAAAAATTGGTCGAAATATGAAGGAAAAGAAGCATTTTTTGTGATTTTTGGAATAAATTTGCATAAATTACCATAATTAATTAATGGAGAACACTTTCAAAATTCGGTGTAGAAGTTTAGTGTACCAAAGTTAGCTCTACCAGATAAAGCAAACCAAATCGAAATCGATCGAGAAATGAAGGAGAAGAAGCATTTTTGTGATTTAGAATAAATTTGCATAAATTAGCATAGATAATGAATTTCACGATTAGAAGATTTAAATCCCCCTTCTAGCCCTATCATATGAAACAATCAGAATCAAAATCGGTTGAAAAATAACGAAGAAGAAGCATTTTGAAAATCTTGATGTATATGCCACAACAAAGTCTCAGTTTGTTGACCTTAAATGACATTTGACCTTAACTTAGTGACCTGAAATTCTACTCACATGATTGGGGAGACTTGATAACCCCTATAGTCCAAGTTTCATTGACTAAGAACTTATACCCACAAAATTATATCAAAAATTCAAAAACTTAACCTTAGGTTAAGTTTTCGATGATGATGCTACACATAGTCCAAGTCTGTTGACCTGAAATGACCTTTGACCTTGACTTTGTGATCTGAAATTCTACTCACATGATTGGGGATACTTGATTACCCTATAGTCAAAGTTCAAAACTTAAGTTCAAAACTTAACCTTAGGTTAAGTTTTTGATGTTGACGCCGTCGCCGCCGTCGCTGTCACAGGAAAAGTGGCGCCTATGTCTCGCTTTTTGCTATGCAGGCGAGACAATATACCGGTACTGTGACATCTCTTTCATAGTCTGCCATGCATAAGACTTTTTCTTAGGACCGTGATTCATCAATATCACCTAGCCATTTTTTTAACTTAAAACTCCCTTCAAGTTCCATTGTTGTGGGTCCATATATATATATATATATATATATATATATCTATATATATATATATATATGTATATGAATGGAAATGTGTACATATCTCAGAAAAATTGTTCTAATTAAATGAATTTTAAAGACATACTGTTAAGAGGTAGACATGAATGATAGTTGTATGAGCCTTGTGGGATTATGCATGTAATGTGAACAATCAGTATCAGAAAATATGGTATTTCATACATGATTATTCTTACGGTACCTTTCCTATGATTTCATTGAAATACAGTTAAGCCATGTAACATAACATATACATATATATGTATATGTATATGTATATATATATATATGTGTGTATGTGTATTCTTGAAGCTGCATGGCTGAGGACCTCTTACCATGAGTCTTTTGTAGAGTATTAACATTTTCAAGCAAAGAAATTAAAACAGTGAAATGCTTGAGAAAAAACACATTTGGCATGCACACAAATTTACCTTTTCCTGGTTTAACATTTAAAAGCTGTCTGGTCAGCTACATATTTTTATAAATATGTTTCAGGCACTTTATTTAACCAAGACTTGAAAATGTTCTTGGTAAGTGCCTTGGGGAAAATGAATATTAGTGTGCATGGCTTTGTATTTATGAAGAGTCTGGGCTCCCTCTTACATATCATGTGAGTTATGATGTATATATAACAGTCAAGTGTAGTGTGTAAATTAAGAGTGATTGTATTCATAAATTATATCTCATTCTCACTTATCTGAAGTGGCTAAACATAAGTTGTAATCATGCAGAAAAAATACATTTTTCTTCTTTTGAATTGAACATCAAGTGATTTAACTGAAGAGTGAAGAGATCAGTCAGTTCAGAAGAAAATTCTACCGGGGAACATAAGTTTATCTTTTGATACCAAGTTTATGAAAATCGGAAGTTCTGTTTCTAAGAAATTTTAGGCTTTAAGTAATACTGTATTTGAATTGAATGGAATTGACTTTATTTCCTCATCTCCATTTCTTTTACATTAAAATATCTGGAAAATCACTGGTTATGTATCAGTTTAAGAACATGACTGGACGATATAATACAGATGCCAGCCCTTTCCAAAAACAAAAAAATCACTATGACCATTTTATTTATTAAGTAGATATCTTGCATTTTCTCCATTGTAGAATTTTCTATCGATTGTTTTGTGGTTTTGAGCTGTCATTTTTTGTTCTTTAGGATTGTGAATATGTATTATAACAGAATTGTAAAGCTGTCATATATGTCAGATGATTCAAAATTATACAACTGTGTAATGAAAGAAAAATAAATTGTAATTGCAAAAGTGTATTATGTAAAACTTAAAAATCACCTTGAAAAAATAAATGTGTTAATTTTTATCTATAAAGTTTTTCTGTATGGTGATTTCTTCCATGTCTATCTTACAGTATCAGGACACATCTATGCTCAGGTTCTCCTTTTCCCTCACTCTTTCAGTCACATTGCTTTTTTACTTGAGAAAGAGGGAGACAAAGGGACATACATACAGCGTGTTTCTATTAGAAGCCATTCAGTATCTGGTCAATGGCTGGCCGATAAGACTGAGATAAATTAGGGCGTGAAAGCTGTGATGCGTTCACGGGCAAAATAATGCAAGGGAGGCTAAGCGGATAACTCGAGTAGAAACGCACGCCGTTCCAATTGAGTGCACATAGCGGAGAGAAACCGGAATATATTTTACCCTGACGCACGCGACATCCCAGGTTGACCTAGCAGTCCCACAATACTTTGCGGTGACCTTAGCCAGAGTTCGATGAATTTTTATTCATGGCATTTTAACCCGCGTAATTGGAGCAGTGTATTTATCCGGATAATGCGCGTAGATAGAAACTGCCCTTCCCTGGCATTTTACGCTATTTTCTTTAACTGGATAAGTTCAGTATAACTAATAGAAACACGCTGATAGAGAGAGAGAGAGAGAGAGAGAGGCTTGTCTCGTCTGTTGAAAGAATGTTTCTTATAGAATTTAAAGATTAATTATTGCTGGCAATTCTTAGTTGTTTAGGCCATAGCACACCTTAATGTTCCAACTATCACTGTTCATTTAAAAAAAAAAGAAATATCATGTATCTGACAGATCTTTAAAAAAATCCTGATTGCAATCTTGAAAATGTCATCTTTCTCTCTCCCTACATTTTGTTTTCCTCTTTTTCTTCTACGGGACACATTTTCACTCTCTTTTCTAGACTTTCACATGTCTCTCCATGCTATAAGTCACCTCTGAATCTAATCACTTCCTTTCTTGATAACAAAACCAAACACAGACCATGTCAAAAGAGTGGTTATCATCTTTCGTATGCCTTTCAGCATTATTTTATTTATAAATCACCATCATGCCCTTGTAGTACCTTTGTAAGAATACACTCTCTTCTTCTTCTCTCTCTCTCTCTCTCTCTCACATACAAAGAAAAATATCACATTTGTGTGTTAATACATTCTTAAAAACAAACACCTACATATCATTAATGCATTTGATGGTTGTAATCCCACAAATTGTGAATCAAAAATACACATAAATAAATTATTTTCATAATGCGGAAGATGTACAGAGGAATGCAAACAATAAGTATAGCAATGAACCTAATATCAATGGTCTTTTGGGCCACTTCTGTATGTACTGCTATATATATATATGAAAAAACAAACAAATTATGGATGAATGCATCTACACACAGAAATCAAGCATCCCAAAGTGTAGGTCGTTTTTTGTTTGGAAAAGCTAATACTTTAGTCTTTAGATCATAAATTCACAATGGGGCATGGAGTCGCATGATTGCTTCTTCAACTTTACAATACAAAATTAATCCCTTCTTACATAATGATAATCATTTTGATAAGAGGTAGTAAGCAAAATAATTCAACCATGCAAATAATAGGCTAAACTGCTTTTACAGTTGAATAAATCACAAAACCAATCTGAGGCAATTTGTTATCAAACATGATGATGGAAAAATGATGCAACACTGCAGATTTTGAAGCACGGTTAAAAAAGAAATCAAAAGACATTTGTTGATTAGAAAAACCACAAAATACTCAAATGTGAAAGATAAAATTTAGGATTGAATGGGCTTGCTCAAAGTGGGTGATGGTATATTTAAGGAGGTATGTTGCTGAAAACATCCACAAACCTGTCTACCTGTTTATGTGTTATTGTGTATATTATATATTATTCTGGGTTTGTATCAAAGAGTTACAATTGATTGTATCTTCTCAAAATTTGTATCTCTTTTGATCAATTGTAGCATTAAGTAAGATTGAGCTGAATTTAAAATTGAATCCAAGTCAATTTTCATATTACCGGGTCAACACTCTAATCCTATTCATTCTCAAGATAAAAATCAGATTAAAATCTTACCTCTTTAAATTGATCGATTGGTACTATAAAATCAAAGAATATCATTGAAGAGAGACAGTTTAAGTTGTTCATCAATAAAATATAAAACTTTCTCTTTAAATACCATTTACATTGTGTGCACCTTGTCTTAAGTGGAAGGCATACATGTCTATTGATCTTCATTGTAATACAGAGAGCATTGGCTTTTTTTCTTCAGAAATGAACAAATATGTTCAGAATAAGAATTACACATATGAGTGATTTTTAGTGATCCACAAAAAATATTCTGATCACATTAAAACAAACAAAAAAAGGAAAAAAAGGATCTTCTTATATCTTTATTAAAATGGCTTTGTATGTTAATAGCCTTACTGTCCTTACCTCTGCAGTAGCATGATAGCTGAGCCAACATCCTATCATCACCATGGTAACCAACCCATCAAGGAGACTAGAGTTTGTATTCCAGAGATAATATATAACAACATTAAGTACCTTATCTGCCAGTGTATAACATAAACAAACATGTCCTAGTAATGTCATTACAAATACTGTTGGCTTTAAGACAAGGTTTTAAATTCAACAAGTAACAAAATGAGTTTTTCTTTAATTCTTGGCAAAAAGAGATAATAAGTATCTTGGTTGTCTAATATACATGTCAGCAGTTGCAGCATAGCTATATCCAGTGACGTAACACTTATAATTTTTTCTTTCCTGTTTAAGAAGAATGGAGAGAGGATAAATTACTTATGAGAGGCAGGAAACACAGTACAAACAAAAGCCTTTTAGAATATAAGCATGCAATCAGATTCACTTCCAACCTTTTAACTGGTAGAAAGGAAGTCTGGATTCAAAAGAGAAGGCCTTTTAGAATATAAGCATGCAATCAGATTCACTTCCAACCTTTTAACTGGTAGAAAGGAAGTCTGGATTCAAAAGAGAAGGCTAGAGCAGGAACTGGACTGGACAATAAGATAGGATTACACCAAGGATGGGACTAGATGTCACCAAAGTGTATTACTAGACTAGACTGTTACCTAATCTTTCCTGATACATTTTGTACATATAAATATACTAGCATGTATCATAAACATCTACATGTACTAATCCAACCTTTGTTTACAACTATAATTATAATATACAATTAATGCATAATACAAACATGAGTGCTATACAAGAAGCCACCATTATTGATTCTTGTTGTTATGTATACATCTATTAACAAGTGAGATAAAAGTAATGTCATTAAAGGCACTATTCAACTAGACAGCTCAAATGATGCAAAGCTAGACAAGGAATCAATAAATGAAGTAATTAAAACAAATTAAACTGTTTGCAATAGACGTACTGTTCAAAGTCTAACAAAAGAAGACACATCCCGTTATCAAGCTTGTGTATACCCAGCATATTTTGCCCTGATTTAAATCTCACAGTGTTCACAAATGTGCCAAAACTTGCAAAAATAGCCTTCATACGTTATGTCAAAGAGATTTTGCGGATGATTGACATTAAAATGAAATGCTTCTCCAATGGCCAGATTGGTTCAAATTCATGGTAAGATCTGTATACCCCTTCCCCTAAATATCTGTAAAAGATTACTTCAACTAGTGAATAAAATGAATACCGTATTAGTACAAAAGTAAAAAAAACAAACACTTTCATTAAGAAGGGTGGGGATTAATGCAGCCCAAGAACTTACATGTATATAAATAAGGTATGCATTGTACAAAAGTGATAAAGAAGTAGCACCATCTATTAGATAACTATTGAAAGCATTTATCAGGTAAAGCAAAATAAAGTGATGAAAGTAGCAAAATCAGTGAGTGATAATAAGAACAAAAGAGAGTATAGGGGTGTGGTTGCGTGTCTACATGTATGTATAGGATTAGGTTTGGGATTAGGTTTGGGATTAGGTTTGGGATTGGTATATTGTTAAATCCAGGTTTGTAAATAGGAGTGTAACTAGATTTGACAAATAACTGCAAAGCAATGGTTGTGGGAGCATGTTGTACAAAGTATCAAAGAGGTAACAAGTGATCGGTGGTCAGGATACTACTAGCGGTAAATTATTGAGCTCATATTCATCAAATCTTACCAAGCCTTGTGAACATCTAATATGGTCCATTCATGTAACGGCTCCAATGGCAATAGAATGTATAAATGCTACCTTACTATTAAAAGCTTAAAGATAAAGACCAGTTATGGTCATGCGATTGCATTGTGAAAGAAACGGTGTGGAATCGATCAGAAAAGGTTGATCATCTAGCATATAAGTATTGGTGTGTACTGCAAGGTTCTGGAATCATCAAAATGATAAGAAAATTGACCCAGTCTTCGTAAAGTTACAAGCACTGTACACAGAAAGATGTATATGGGACTACGCACACGTGCACGACACATGCGTTTATCTCTCACACACCAATAGATAAACTAATTTACCAAATATATCAATTAGTAGGCGGTTTCCCGGCACATTTTTTATCATCATGTATTAGTCAAAACATACTCTTTCACATGATTGGTAATAAGAGCTTCCATTTCATTTTTGGAAATTGGGGCGTTTCCAAAACTGGTCTTTACCTTTAAGTTTCATACCCTATTAATAGCTGGTAGCTGATATGGTCCCTAATTGTATTATAAACAAAAAACATTCAGTAGTTGGTAAGTAAATCCATAAGATATTCATAAAACCTAAAAATGATTTGTTGGCTCTTAGGTTTCTTTTTAGTGCAACTCTAAATCACTTGTTGGCAGTAAACCACTTATGGCATCATTAAAAAAAAATATGCATGTGGTGTAAAAAGCATGTAATTCAGTGTATCATAGCTACATTATAAAGGAGTGTAGTCAGAGGAATTCCATAGAATCTTACTTCTTATCACCATTTTAACAATTTTTAAAACTTGTTTTTTCAAGAGTTAAAGAGAAGGTTGAGTTTTGGGAAGAGGTGAAAATAATTTGTGAGCGTTATCATTGTATTATGCAAGTGTGGAAGAACATCAAATAATAAATGTTCCCTGAAAAGCATGGCTCTTCAAATGCCTAAATATTCTAAATATAGCATGTATCATAAAAATCGGGACGGATATTTATGCGACATGTTCGTGTAGTCCTGTATACATCTTTCTGTGTACAGTGCTTGTAACTTTACCATGACTGGGCCAAATTTCTTATCATTTTGATGATTTTGCAGTACACACCAATGCATATATGCTAGATGATCAACCTTTTCTGATCGATTCCACACCGTTTCTTTCACAATGCAATCACATGACCAGAACTCAACTTTATCTTTAAACAGAAGCTTATAAAGCACCAATCCTTGCCATTATGTAATCAGTATTTTCAAGAGTTGAATAGTACCTTATAAAGCATCAATCCTTGCTTCAAGGGTGTCTGTTACTCAGGAATGTAACACAATTCTTGTATTACATGTATGTTATCAGTAGCAATTTTGCTTTTTTATAATGAAGTTTTATCAAGTTGGTAGTTTAATAAGTGGTCATTTCGGCTGTTATCTTGGAACTGCAATGGATGCTGCATGCAAGATCTCCATCATGACCTCATTATCACTCTTCAATTCATGTAAGAAGGTTGTGAACTAAAGTAATATCTAAAACTATGGAGTAAATTGGTATCTATAAGGAATTAACTCCTGACATACAAGCTCCCATCATAGTTAAACCTAGATAAATATTGAAGTACTTATATTCCCCCTGTAAGGAAGATATGTAATGGCTTTATATCAATCATGATCTCCTATTCAATACTCTATTATAAAGACTATAATATCCAAAAAAGTTTAAAAGGAAAGAAGGATTAAATATATCAATGTAGGATACATACAAACATATGTGCAGAAATAATTGATGTCAATAAAAAACTGGTCATCCGGTTAAAATACAAATATTTGGACTTTGAATTGGAAGATTATAAATTGAGCAAAGTTAAAAATGCACCCTAGATATCTATAAAAAGTGCCATACATATATATTTTAGTTACAAAAAACCATTTACCCTGTATCCTGACCGAGTTTAACACACTATCATAGCAGAAAAAAGGGGAAGAAAAACATTTTCATCTGAGAAACATGGGAGCAAATTAGCTCTGAACTGTTTCAAGTACAACATTTTTGTAACAACTTTTGTTTAGAAATAATAATACAACAAGGACTACATGAACCACAACCCCTATAACTACAATCTAAATACTGTAGCTCCAATGTTAGATCATTTCAAATATGTCTTCAAGAATACTCAATGGGGAAATTAATACATGAATGGACATTCTTTAAACATGAACGGAAACAATTCTCAATTTAAAATATGTGAAGGAATCAAATCATCCACACAAATATTTTTATCATCTTAATAAACATGATTCAAATATATCACATCCTACATTCATAAATAAACAAATGCACATATAGTTTGTACTTCTTTCTCTTTGGGTATCTAAGTTTGCATGAAGGCATAGCAACTATTTATAGCACTAAAACAAATGCTCAATTAGAAAAAATTGCAATGATCAATCTATGATTAGCACCTTAATATAATGAATGCACAGTGAAATAATTCTGCAAGACAAGCTACAATATATGATGATTAAGTGTAGCAACATAAATACAAGCATTGTTGACATACGTCACATGGTCCCACACATTGTAAACATTACATTCACTTGCATATTCTTACCAGCAATACCCTTTGTAACAAACTCATATTATTTATTTCACAAAAAAAATCAAAATGATTAATAATTTGTATTAGGAGTACCTTACCTATCTTACCCTTCATTAATGTAGCTGTAATATTATTTCTATGTACATTGTATGGCATGTCCATTTATAAGTGATTTACACAACCAAAATACTAAAAATTAACTGGATGAAATTAATTTTGTGCACTTTCTAATCTCCATATCAAAGCCGATAAAACCAAATGTTTTAGTTTCTATAAAAGATCTCACTATGTAGGCACTACAGAGAACTAAGGTCTAGATACAACTGTCTTGCTTGAAATTGAATAGGTGCAACAAAATGTTTTGGTTTACAGAATTATACCAAATATTTCCTAAAAATCAATAAATAGCAATTTGCCTTGTTTTTCTGAAATATACCAAATACGGATTCAAATTTTTTGTTTGGATGGAAGATGACATCCTACATGTGTAGGCTAAAAATTGTAAAATTTTAAATTTTTATAATGAAAATGTACCAAACAAAGAAATTGAATAATAAAAGATTAAAATCCTGGTCTTCTGGAGTAGTTCACTACGACTAAATTAAATCCCACATGAAGAGTAATTAATAATACTTATTCAAAGAAAAGAGGCCTCAAGTTTACATAACGCATGCATTAATTTCAAGTTTGAACAAAGAATATTGATTCTTTAGGTAATCAAGTGAGTTGTAAAATGAACAGCCACAGAAATCTACCATGTCTAGTTAATTGAAATGAATTATACAATAGAAACTAGACAGACTCACATATAAATGTAAGAAAACAACATAAACTAAAGAACAAAGAAAATGAGCATAAAACAGTGACTATAAATACATGTAATTGAACAAGTTCATAAATGAGAGTTGCTGTTGAAACAAGATTTGACATTTTGTACAGCTAAATGGATCTTGCAGAAACAAAAGAGGTGTTTATATTGAGCATGTTGCATGTTTCTGTGATATAGTTTTCATTACAAGATGCTTTAAACCAGAAAAGTGCTCAGTCTGAACTTTATTTGTTATAATCAAATCACTACATGTATGTCAAACTACCAGTATGCTGTTTGAATGATTGGTTAAAGATCAAGCTCCTTTTGATTACATGTATAATAAAACATAGGTACGAATATGAGTAATATCATTGGTTGAGAGAGAGTGTTATTTTAGTAATACCTTTACCATACTACATTTTATTTACTAGATAATTACACTTATTAAATGCACTCAGAGCTATATGTAATTTGTATACTAAGGAAAAAAACTTTGGATCTTGAGAACCACATCAAGAACAAGCACTCTGGCTTTTTTTTTTCTCTCTCTCTCTCTGCATCACTCTCTCAATATATACATGTAAACACCATGTCCCTGCTAAAACCATCTAAAACCAGCTAAAACTCTAATCTACTTCTTCTCTTATTCCAAGAAAAATATAGAAACTCTAATCTCACTTTCACTCATATGTTATCTGTTTTTTATACAAAAAGCAAGACTTTCATTTAAAATTTAACACACACAATATTTTCAATATTTTCATAATAATACCTCATGAATAGATTACATCTGGTTTTCAAAAAAATATCTCTGCTCGAATGAGTTTATATCTGACCACTTTTCATAACTCTTAAAGAAATGATCTCATATCCATAAAATTGTCCAATGCTGAACACATACACACAAAAATATTGGCATGACATGTTAGTGAAGTATTACCCCATTACTCTCACAATGGATGCTTTATAAGAACTCTGTTTACTCTGGAAGGTGAGGTCCTGCTCACTGCTGATACTCTTAATCATGTGGGCCGGTAGGAGCACCCATATAGGGCCTTGCTCTAAGCTGCCATGCTCTCTGGCTATCTTGCTGGTCTATACCAGTACTCAGCTTGCATTGATGGATTCTTAGCGATGAACATCTATGAGCCTCATGTTGTGGTACTTGGTTGAGACATGCCCACTAATCCTGACTCACTACTACGACATCAAGAAGTTTCTAATGAGATGTTCTGAAGTGGTACCAATATCAAGAAGAGATTCTCCATATTGATTGTAAACTTTGCTTGTAGGTATTTATTGGTTTAAGGACATGATACGTCACGATTGAGAAGAAGAAGAAGCTGGACATGGAAGAAGATTAGAAAGTAGCTTGACCTTTCTTGGTCCCATTAGTAGACATTCATGTTGGTTTATTATGAGTAGTACTCTTGATCACTCCATAGTTTGGCACATGAACCACATGTTTGTAATCCAATGATGGGACACTCTGCACCATGAAAACATTCTAGTACTTTCATTTCCATTTTCATGAGATTCACTGAACAACGAACGGTGGGCTTAATATCACGTCCTTGGTTTGGGGTCCACCACCTCAATCTTTCGATAACGTTTTCTCATATTTGAGACCGGATCTTTGTAGAGGACCGGATCGAGACGCATTTGAGATCTAACCAGTGGCATGGTGCCCATAACACTGGAGAATAGATTGAGGCACTCCTGACGCTGCTGGAAATGTTCTGCGCTGAGCCAGCGAGCCGCCAGTGCTGATGTTGATGGTGTTAACATCGTATCACGGTATTGTTTACGCTGTGTTACCTTAATGGGTGGTAGCTTTGTCACACTAGCTACTAAGAAGTTCATAAGGATATCATCACAATTGTTAGTGCGATCCACATGGACACGCAACGGTGAAGGCAGTACATGGGTGAACAGATAATGATAGTACCTATGGAAACAAAACACAAAATATGGGTTTGTTAAAACTTTTACTGTATTGAAAGCAAGGAGATTCCTCTGAACTGAAGGACTTTCAATAATATGTTTTTCTCTCGCAATCATGCATAATTATTTTATTTAAAAATGTTGCCGAAAGTAGATATTAATTCCATTTCCGAAATATCTAGACTTAATTTGAACAGCAAGATGAAATCATTCTTGTGTGAAATATGACATGTATGTTATATGGGATAGTTTATGAACCAGGAAGACAAAACTCTGATAAAAATAATCGACATTTGGAGAGATTGTTGAAGTAGCATATATTTTACTGGTTTCTTCCAGTTTCAGTTCCTCTTGATATGAAACTGAGGGTTAGAGACTTAGAGATAGAGAGAGAGAGAGAGAGGGTGTGGAGGGAGAGAAATGGGAGAGGTAGAGAAAACGGGTGGGAGGGAGGGAAGGAGAGACACAGAGGGATGGAGAGGGAGAGAGGGGGGGGGGGCAGAGGCAGAGAGAGATGTGAGAGAGAGAGAGAGAGAGAGAGAGCCTACCTATGATAAAATGCTGCTCCAGAGAGTACCATAGAGTACTCATTGGTCCACTTTGATGAGTACCCCCAGTGACCTTTAGCTTGGTCCCAGTAATGGTTTCTAGCAGGGTAACCTACTAATCTGCTTGGAAAAGTCTGCCATACTGAGAAAGCAAAGTCAACCTGAAAGTCAAACAGAGAAACAAAGAAAAAAATTCTTTACATTATATATATATCATACAAAATAAAAGCATAAAAAATGATTTGTTTCTCCAATCCATTAGAGCACATCCTAGCATACATGCATATCACATAGAATACAAAGGTTGCAAGGCTTGTCCATGAACCTGGAATCCTGTGACTACCATACCACTGTCTTTTGACCTCCCTCATCAAAGTATCTTCCAATGAATACTAACCTCATCTGTAGTTAGTTGAGCATCTTCATCCAAACTCAGAATAGCATCCATCTCAATCACAGAGTTAGGTGAGAATCGACTGCTCAGGGACTGAAAGGAAACACAAACACAAGTTTATTTTCACAAAATTCACAAATAAAATGTACAAACTGTTCGGTACAAAATCAATTTCCTCATGCTATCCCTTCTGTTTCTTATATCATAGTAATCATTTCTTGTGTATTCATCACATTCAGCATACTATCTACATGGTGACACCATCATCACTGACAGAACTGACTATTCCTTGCAAAATATTACCATCATCACCACCTCATTTCTACATCACACCCACAACCTCAACCATTACTCTACTACCAAAATCACTATGGAAAGTACCTTTGAAAAAAAAACCTACCCAGATCACCACCACAACCTCGTCCATCACTTCACCACCATCTCCAATTACTAGCACCACTTCAACAATCAACACTAACTTATCCCTCCCTTATACCACCATCACCATGCCATGTCCACCAACAATACTTTACTATTACACCTATGCTCACCACCATCATTACAATCACCATTAGAACTATATCCGATACTGTGATTCTCGGTCTATTCATCTTGACCAATACCAACATTTAATATAATAGTGAACATTGTTTTCACATAATAAACCTTTAAATTATAATACACCTGGGCCCGTTGCACAAAACTTACCATTGATGGTAACTTTGCCATCAATGGTAACTACCATGGAAACCTTGATTTTGATTGGCTGTTAAGCCTTGTTAACATGGCAGTTACCATTAATGGTAAGTTTTGTGCAACAGGGCTCTGGTAACTGTTACATCGTTGTGCAAAGATGACTTGATTTAGAACAATCCACTTTCCATGATGGAGACGTTTTAATTGAGGACCTTACCTTGAGATCAGTCTCAATGACTATGAGAGGGACTTGAAGCTTGGGCCATCTGGACTTCGGTGGGAGGGGTCTATCTACCTGCCATAACACAACAATCTACAACAACAAAAAAGAGAAGAGAAAGGACAGTGTGTTTAACTCACAGCATTGATCAACACCATGGGTAATGATAACAATATGTTTCTTTCTTGGTATATTTAGATGGTTCAAGACCGAAGCAATAACCATTTTCTTCAAGCAGACTTTAATTCAAACAAATGGGGGCCGATTTTCCTCTTTATCGTTCTCCCAATTACACTTTACCTTGAAACATATTTATGTGATGAGTAATGTATACTTGCAGCAGCTATATCCAATAAAATAATCAAAAATTTGAATACTAAAGCGATAATCTTAAAAACATTTCAGAGCCAACTCTTAAGGGGCTGTACTCAAAGTTCTCAACTCCTCCAACTTGTACCACGAGTTTGCATTACCATTACCATTAATGACATTGAATAGTGGTCATATGCCAAGAGAGGTTGACAATGAAAGTGAACTAATTGTGATATTAAAGAAGAAAGCAATGGATTTTATCAGCATCAGCATCAGTATACGGAAGTGTGAGGTGATCCTATTGAAACTTCTGGTCGTTGCATTGAATGGTGCTTATGGAGGCGAGTTGGCTCAGTCGGTAAAGCGTCTGCCTGTCGAACCAAGGCGGATGACTGAAGTCTACGTTGATGTGTTAACGTGCCCCTTCCCTTGGTCATATACACAGGTTATGTCAAGTGGAAAACACTCTGTCCCTCGGACAGGACGTTAAATGGAGGCCCCGTGTACAGGAGAGTCACCACCCTTGCACGTTAAGAACCCATTGCACTATTCGTATAAGAGTAGGGGGAAACCCCGGTGTAATGGTCCACCTGCACACCCCGATCAGGCCGAGTATACGGCATCTGCAAGAATTTTCAGTATTGAAGGAGGTAGATTATCTTGAAGAAGAAGAAGAAGAAGAAGAAGATATATACCTGATGAGCATATGCAGACTTGCCTACATTGACAAGAAGTTTCATGAGTGGAGCTGATATGGAGATAGGTGGGGTCTGCACTAAGACTAGAGCAGAAAACTTGTTGGATGGTTGAGCCCCTATTGCCAGGGTGTAGAAAGGGAATGATTGGAGGCTGGACGAATACTCGCTGAAGATAGACAATGCTCCTGGATGGTGGTTCCAGATGTAGTCCTGACGAGCAAGGTGTTTCTCTACCCTCTCCTTGATAATCTATGTTAGAGGAAAGGGAAAAAAGGAAATAGAAACATTCATTAACTAAAGACATTTATATGAGGCTATTTGGACTTTTGTTCCTGAAAATTCTTAACCATTTAGCAATGACATACTTTGCTCACTGTAGCCATCCACTCACTTCATGAAACAGTAAATTGTGAAATCTTTGTTAGATTAGCCTAATAACTGTTTTCCTGTTTATATAATTTATCAATTACAAGTGTATCAATTTCTCGAAAGTAAAATAGTGAATTTGTTATTCAGTTTCATGATATTAAAAGACAAGTAATAGAATTAGTGGTGAATGTATACAGAGTACTAGTACGAGCAATGGAAGAAGCATCAGTAGTAAATCAGAACATGGTTTTTAAATAACCAATCATTTAAACCCTTTTTGACATGCTGGATTACGCTGTACTACAGAATGTGCCTGTTTTTAGCACTTTCGATACTCCCAGAAGTAATCACTATAAGCAGGCTTCCTCTATGGGCATGACCAAGACCAAGGTGGGGAAAGAATCACTCACTAAATGTGGGGAGTTTCGTTGGTAACAGAGCAACATACTGCTCAAAGGTCATGGGTTTGTAGAGCTCTTTCTATAAAGAGCCGTCTTTGAGGTAAGCCTCTATGATGGAGGGAGGAGAGAACGTAGAAAGCAAAGCGGGGATACACATGACCCAGTATGTGCCATGTTGCCATAAAACCTCTAGGCCAAAGACACAGGTATTACTGCAATGGTTTTTTCATACTCACAACCTGTGATAGCAATTGATCCTAATCAAATTTTCAGACTCAAATTCATTTGAGAAATAGCTAAATTGAGGTATCTAGAAGGATTTTTCCTTCCCACTGAATTAAAATGAGCACACAGTATCAGGAGTACATGTACATGCTCTATACTTTAATAATGAATATGAACTAGTGGTGAGCACAGCTGTTTCCAATCAATTTTCCCTTTATCCTTTTTGCTTCTTGGATTCAAACTTAAGACTTGAATCAAAGTCATACCCTGGTTAAAGATGATGGCTCTATAAACCAACCACACACTGCCAACATTTTATAGCGAACTCTGGTATCCCTGCAACATGAATGTACCACAGTGCATACCAGGCCCTTTCATGTCTGCGTATATGACATTGTCATAGAAGTAGTGAATTTGTTATTTATTTGGCTTATACAATGTACATGTATGTAATGAGAACAAAAGAATATCGTGAAATAAAGTAAAGCTCTGAAGGACAACTCTGGCCCACAGGTAGTTTGCTATTGATGAAATAAAGAGTAACTTAGAGTAACACATTTTAAATGACATGAATACTAATAAAGATGAATGTATAACATACATAGTAGACTGGGGTGTCTCTCTATGCGAAAGTAAATACAACTAAAACAATACAAAAGTTTTGTGCCTACAGATTATCACATATTACTTTTTAAACAAAAGAAAAATATGATGTATTTCAAAAAAAAAATTAGGACAACGTTTGAGGTTTATCAGACAACCCTAACTTATCATAAGACTATAAATGTATTTGAGAAAAGAGTTTCTTTTTTCTTATCTGAAAATAATAAAGTGAAAGAGAGTTTCAACATTTTTCTGAATACTAAATATGTGGTGTAAACTGACCTCCCAAATTAGTTTCTTTATACAACACTCCATATGCACACCCTCTTCACTATCCAATGATTGTTTGGGCCTATGCAACATTTTTACGAATGGATTTGTATAACCATCCTCTCATAAGAATTTCCTTAATCAATCTGTCAGTCAATCAATGCACATGTAATCCGTTGGAACTAGCAGAAAATGACTCAAATTACCATAAAATACATATAATCAAGCTCACTACAACAATGATGATGTAATTACATTGCATACAAATCCAATTGACCTAAACATTGATAAAAAATAATTATTGCTGCTTCCAAAACAAACAACAACACAAATAATGCTGAGTAACAGTGGGATCAAATTATATCTTTGGACCTACATAAGATAAGCAATGAAACTTTGTTCATCAAGATTGGGCATATGAATGGCCAAGTAATGATTAAAGTAACTGGTTATACACACATCCATACCACATTGTTTCTCTCATGATATAAGGTCCTAAGGCATATTATTGTTAATGAATGCATCTACTCTTGGGTAAATATAGCAAGAAATAATTCATCTTGAAAAGAAAATTGTATTACAAACAAAACAAAGATTTGTAAACAAATTAAAAGAAGAAATAAAGAGCTACATGCATAGAAAGTTAGAGACTGGTTAACCTAACACTACTTGCTGCATCGCTGATCTGGGCTACAGCAGGCTACATGTAGAGGTAGGTTATGAGATCATTCATCATGTATTATCCATTAGGATGACTCGTCACTGTTCACTATTCAAAATGAGTTTTCTTCATGACTCTAAATTGTCTTTCCTATACACAAATTAGGCAACCAATATCACCTAGCTGCCTGCATGAGTCATTGCCTGCTTTCTTCACTTTCCCCAAAATGTGTTTTTTCCTCATTTCTTGAAAATATAACGTAACGCCCAAGTAAGAGGGGGAGGGGATTGAAACCAATCCATATATAAACAAAACTTTGAGATGACTTTTTAGCCAAATCTTTTCACTCTGATGTTTCTATTTATCATGTTTAATGATACAAGCTTTTGAAACTGAGTGCTCAAGAAAAAGGAAAAGTGACAGCCCCCTCCAAAGAAAATATGACAGAAGACAGAAAATGTAAAGATAAAGGAGAAATTAAGAAATTAGATAAGTAACAAATGAAAGTGATGGGAAGGAGGCACAATGGAAGAATAAAGAAAAAGGGGGGAATAAAGTCGAAGAGAAGAAAAAGATGTCCAGTGTCCAAAGAAAAGAAGAAACATCAAGACTTATTTAATTCTTTCTTATATTATGAAGAATTCATATGTTCACCACTCTGTCCATCACTTTCTTCCCATCCATATTTTCTTACGGTATTCAAAGTTCCATCGTTTCATCTTCTACTATTCATGAGATTACGTGTTAAAGTATATCATGCACAATTTGCTATTCATGAATCCCAATTGGCTTTTCCAAGGAGTCACCAGACCTACATGTATCTCCCTGGCTTACTTTACATCACTCAATCATATTTCTCTGTCGTGTTCACTTCAATTACATTCATGGAGCCCGGAGGCTGTTCATACATGTATACACTCAATTATTGAATTCATATTGGACAAATCTCCAAACGTTTATTCATTTATTCTTCCAAAAGTCTCTAACTTTTTCTCATAGCCAATGAAAAATGCCTCCCAAGACCCCTATGAAAGATGCTACTCTATCTAATTGTATCTCTCTGTCTATCTCTTACAGCGTGTCCACACACACATTTTTTAAAATCCTGAAACACTATAAAGAAACGTTGTACTTAAAGAATCATCGTATAAATTCCAGGGCGTCCACACACACAAGAAAGTAATCCCGAAACTCTACAGAGAAATGTTGTATAGGTGCGCAATTTGCTACTGCAGTCATGAAACGGAAGCCGAAATGAGAGGTCAGGTCTCCTTTCACGCGCGGTCACGTTAAGCTCTGCCCAGTTATACCGTTCTAGTTCGACCAGTACCAGTACATAACACATTCTGTGATTCTTCTAGTTAGAAACGATACCCAAACCCGCGTTTCGTTATACAACGTATTGTTAGTAAGCGTATACACACACAATTTCATTGTATAACTATCCTGAAACGGTATAACTATACCGTTTCGAGATAGTTATAGGATGAATTTATTGTGTGTGGACCCGGGGTAAGTATATCTATCTGTTTATCTCTCTGTCTATCTATTTGTTTACCCCTCTGTCCATCTCTCTGTATATCTATAAGTCCATCTCCTTCTCTCAAATAAACTTGCATCATAATCTTGTAAACAATTATGTGGCTCAACATGAATCTTAGCAATATCATGCTCCAGATTTTTAAGCAATAAACAGTGTATATGTGTTCTACTAGGTTGCTATATAGTTTTCTACATGAATCAACTTAGTGTTATAGAGTCAAGATGACACAAGGCTTGAAAAGTTAAAGGACCCATGAATGATAAACTAGTTCACACTCTACATTATGTCTGCCTCAATTCAGTAATCCTCCCAGGCTACATGTCCTAAAGGTGCAAATTAAGACTTTCTCTTATAGAATATAAGATGACATCATGGGGCTTAGCTTCTACACCCATACGGAATATAACAAACTGAGATACATGTATGATAAAGGTGGGTAATATCATATGTACAGTATAATAAAGGTGGGTAATATCAGATTTATTTATTTATTTATTTATTAGTCTTTTTTAGTAGGGTGGCTCCATCAGTAGTTAAATACTGTTTTCCGTGGAGGCCCTACAACATAAATACAAAATTTACAAGCATATTGAGAACAAACAATCCAAATCCAATATGAACAGTATAATAAAGGTGGGTAATATCATATGTGCAGTATGGTAAAGGTGGGTAATATCATATATGTGCAGTATGGTAAAGGTGGGTAATATCGTATATGTGCAGTATGGTGGGTAATAATATATCAGGTTGTGGGTTTGGAGAGACCTTTACTTTCCTGTAATTCATGCATAACTTACCCCCCTGTCCACACACAACATTTTGATTAGCTATACCGTTTCGCGATAGTGATACTGTTTCGCGATAGTTTTACGATGAAATTGTGTGTGTGAACGCTCACTAACGATACATCGTATAACGAAACTAGTCTAACGAAACGCAGGTTTGGGCATCGTTTCGAACTGAAACTCAATAAAGAATCACGCCTAATCACAGAAAATGTTGTGTGTGGACAGGGGGAGTGTAACTAGTGTAACTAACTGGGCGGGGCTTAACGTGACCTCGAGCGAAAGGAGACCAGACTGTAGAGTTTCAGGATTACTTTCTGCTGTTTATGGACATCCTTGAATTTATACGATGATTATTTATATGACGTTTCTTGTGTGTGGACACTTTGAAATTTATACTATGATTCTTTATACGACGTTTCGTTATAGAGTTTCGGGATAAATTGTTTTGTGTGTGGACACGCTGTTATTGACTGTTCGCTTGACCGATCGCTTGACCATTGAAATCACATCATCCAGGGGTGTATGGCAAGTATGGTCATGACTATTGTTCAAAAGAAGCCTAGTAAAGTAGTTTTAGGACTAATGGCATATAAAACTGCAGCTTTTTTAAGAACAAGTCTGATTTTATCGTTCCTTTATTTGATATGGGTGAACAGGGCAGGCATTACCAGTCTCTGAATAAAAGGTCAGATACAGGTTTTTGTGCAAGATATTTGATTTTAGAAGATAAATTGAAAGATGCCAGCAATACTAAGCTGCTGTGAAATCTTTTCCTCCTCAAGGGAAATATTAAACCAATGAGAGGTAGAAAATAATCTAAATACCATACAGGAACATAACTTATAACTAGATGGAATTCGACTGCACGCAGTCGAAAATGATGCCTCCGTTACAGAGCAATTTTACAAACCAAAAGAGAAAAAAAAAATTGAATTCACGTTCAATGGTAATCCATTGACAGGTTCTCAGAATATAGTGATTACAAGCAATTTCTCATATACATATATGACCCTTAGATCTTTGACCTCATGACCATAAAATCTACTCAGTTCATTGGCTCTGCAAGATGTTCTGAGTTAAATAGTAATCCATCTGTCAGTTCTAATGAGAATGCGTTCACAAGCTATTTTTGCATACATAATGGGCCCATGACCTTTGACCTTTGACCTTATGAACCAAGAATCTACTCAGTTCATTGGCTCTGCAAGTAACAAACATGACCTAATTTTGGCATGAATCCATCAATCGGTTCTTGAGATAACGCGATCACAAGCTGTTTTTGCATTCATAATGTGCGCTGTGGCCTTTGACCTTTGACCTACGTGCTCCAAAATCTAATCAGATTGTTTTCCTATAGTGATACACACTATCACTAAGTTTGAAGTTTAAATCTCCAGTGGTTCTTGAGATATCATGATAACAATCTCAATGTATGGAATTTCATAAGTTGACCTCTGTGACCCTTGACCTTTGACATACGTGCTCCAAAATCTAATCAGATTGTTTTCCTATAGTGATACACACTATCACTAAGTTTGAAGTTTAAATCTCCAGTGGTTCTTGAGATATCATGATAACAATCTCAATGTATGGAATTTCATAAGTTGACCTCTGTGACCCTTGACCTTTGACATACGTGCTCCAAAATCTAATCAGATCGTCTTCCTATGGTGATACATACTATCCTTAAGTTTGAAGTTTAAATCTCAAATGGTTCTTGAGATATCGCGCTAACAAACTCAATACAAGGAATTTCATAAGTTGACCTCTGTGACCTGTGACCTTTGACCTACGTACTCCAAAATCTAATCAGATCGTCTTCCTATGGTGATAAATACTATTCCTGAGTCTTAAGTTTAAATCTTAAATGGTTCTTGAGATATTGTGATAACGGTCAAACGGGACGGACGGACGGACGGACGGACGGACGGACGGACGGACGGACGTACGGACGGACGGACGTACGGACGGACAACCCGAAAACATGATGCCTCCGGCACCACCTTCGGTGGCGGAGGCATAAAAATAAAACGGTGCATTTTTCTGAGGGAAAAAAAAGTATGAACACTCAAACCCTCTCACACCATTGCGTTCATTTAATTCTTTAAATGAAAGAAGATTCATAACTCTGGAAGGTTAGTGTATTGCTGCGAAGGGGTGAGAGTTAGGAATGAATTTTCCATTTTCATTTCTAAATTTTTCCTGCACGGGAATCACACTGGCCCTCCTGTGGTTCTGAAAAGGAGGGGTTCGCAGATTAATGTTTTACCCTTAGATTTTGTTTATTTATTTCGTTATTTTCATTTTTTTTTTCTCTCTCTCTCTCAGAGGGGGACCGTGGCCGATTTACTCGCCTTGGATTCGCCTAAGCAGAAAGTGGTGCCATTATTGAAAATGCCGTAACTTGCATTTCTTTCTAAATTTGGACGACTTCCGATCACACTAGCACAAGTTGACAATCAAAATTAATATATGTCTTTGGATGCCATTGGTAAAATGATTGACACCACGACACTCAAACCTATGACAAATTTTATCCTAGCTTTCATATCCTAGCATTTGTCGAAAAATCTTCAAAAATCAAATGAGGGATTTTTTCCTCTTACTGAATATTCTTTAATCTGGTCAGGAAATTTGAATTCTTAGTGGACGGTGCTTAGGCTTGGCTGGTGAGCGTATATATGAGTTCATTGATAAAGCCATCTTCGGCGGCTTGAATCAATTGTAGTGAATATAATATAAAGAACCGGCCAGATTCTGGACTAACATTTCACGAGCCTGCCCCCTATACCCCATCTCAATGCTGATCATACACCCCTCCCCAAGACAAAGAATGGGAGCGAGGTCAAAGGTCAAACACGATCACTTACACTCAACTATGCAGCTACTCTTTGCAAGGTCAATATGTGTCTTTACTTCCTGCAGTGCATTGCTGGGTTAAAAACCACTTTTGTTGTAAGGAGAATGTAGGAAATGCCCTGTGCATGGCATTCACAAACACAGATTGTTATGATTGGGACTATGGGGATTGAAAAGGAAATGTAATCCAGTTGCAATATGTAAATAGTAATGAATTCATAAATATTGACATTTTCAAAGCAAACCCATGCGTTGTCAAACTATACTACAGGATTGAAAGTATCTTTCCAAGTTACTCTTATTTTTTTAGGACACTTGCCCAAAATGGTGAAAGGGCCAACTTTATCCTAAAATAGAACTAAAGCCCCTAAATGAAATCAGTCAAGATCAATTCAACTACATTCAACATTTATCAAATATAGGTCCATGTTGTGAATGAGAGGGGAGGAACTCACCTCTAATGTAGTATGAACTATCTTTTCGGTGGAGGAGAAGTAGCTGTTCCACAGGAACTGAGTCTGTTGCCTTAGCAACAGGATCTGCTCGGCAGTGATAGACCTTACAATGGACGGAACCTGGAGAACAACAAAAGTAAATTCCTCTTTAGCATTCATAGAACCAAAAGGGGTACTGCTATTAATTTGTTTTTATTACGAGTACGGCTTACATCCCACATATAACATTACTACCGGTAATTTCCCTTGTTAAAAAAACAACAGAACATGAACAAAACTTGGCATAGTGTGCGAATATTGATTAATTCATGATATCATGATCCAGGGAAAACTGAAAAAATATACTTACCGGTATTCAAAAGCCATATTATTTATAAATGAAAATGAAAATGGTGATGACTAAAGAACTTGAAAAATTAAGAAAGCCTTGAAGACCTTTCTTTTCTTGTAGTAGTGTTGTACTTTTCTTTATATGTTTATATAAACCACTTCCGAAAAAACACATGGAGAATCATATTCTTATCATCATGCGCTATACATTAAAGATACATATACATACTTGTAATAGAAGTCTCTCATCTCCGAAGACGACAGCTTTACTCCAGTCTATAACCTCTGAGAATGGTAGCTCCCAACCATTGCTTAGCAGCATAGGAATACAAGCAGCCTGCAGAGACTCTAAGAAACGGAACGAGCCAAGGCGGCGCCCTCGCGGTACCAGACAGAACGTAGAGTTATGCAGGAGCACTTGGTAATCAAACCTGGAGGAAAAGAGAAATATGAAGAATGATTTAGAGATCGAGTTTTGCATTGTGCCCCGGTTGGATGAACCATGTGGAAAAAGAAATCTTAGTTCACAAATTGTGTCTTGATTATAACAGACACAGATAGTGTTAACACCTGAATAAAATATCTGCGACCAAACTGATGATAGATAGTTTAGAAGTAGAATGCTGCTATACAATAGAAAATGGTTGTCAGAGGATCTCTACAAAATGACTGAGAAACCCTTATGTTAGTAGCCGCTCAAAAGAAGAAGAAGAAGATGAAACTGAAGAAGAAGAAGAAAATTTACAATGCTTCATGCCGAGCTTATATTCTGCAATCCTCTTAACTAATATTACTTTAAGTTCCTAAAGTCTTTAATCAAAATTAAATCCTAAATATCAAATATATGAACTTATGAAGGAACTTCTCTCATTGAATCAGAAATATGTGCATTGTAAAATACATGTACATGTACTTCCTATATCCCCTCCCACTCAGTCCCACACCCATCTCTCTCTCTCTATCTCTCCCTCTACCCTTTTCTTAACTTTGCACTCTTTCCACATCAACATGCCATCTAGAAGAAAACATCCTGCCTGTTCAGAGCTCAAAAACACTGTCAAAGTTCATTTTAGATGATGTATTGCAGGCAGTGACATTCCAAGCTGATTCCAGTCCGGTTCCATAAGAAAAGGAAAGGATAGAAGTTAGCCAGGTGGATGTCATAACAGGGAAACCATGTCATGTATAAACACATGCATCATCCGATCACTACCATTTCCACTTTCGATTGTCAGTAAAGTTTAAGCCCATTTAGCCCTATCTGTTTGGCGAGCCACAAAATACTGTTTTGTCTGACTTCTCAGTTGATATACACATGAAGCAAGATACTAACAAGTCTAGCTGCTATGTATCAAATGTGTGGTGAAAAAGCTTTTTGAGACAGAAAACATTTTAGTTTAAAGTTCTTTGAAGAATGAAGAGTAATGCACAAATCTGTGTGAAACCCCTTCATAGTGCATGTATATGGAGTGATGATAGCCAGAGTTAGCCTGCATTTCATATTATTCAAATTCCTTTCATCAGAAATCATGGTTACAATAAAATAATCTTGAACTCAAGCTTGAACTGGACTTCATTATCAAATAATAAACACACACAGTAGGCCTAACAAGTATAAAAGTAAATATAATCAGTTGCAAGGATAACAATTTAGAAACCTGAAAATGGTATAAAACATGAAAGCCCATTAGTCTGGTATACATTATATTGAATTATAGACGACAGTTGTCTCATTGAATGGAATAAACAAAATAAACAAAAGCTGTAAAGTGAAATTAGCTGATTAGGTCTCTTCTAATCTTTATACATCTGCCACCAACAATAGGACCTACACTGTACGTGTACCAACAGCCTTTTCTACTTTCAATATTTGTTCATGTTCTGTACACAGGTTTGGCGGTAAAATGCAACACTAGCAATTAAACAAAATTAAGAAAATCTTTATAGCAATGAAATACCAGGAAGCTGTAACAAATACATTTCAAAGTGAGTATTCAGGCAGAAAGAATATTAAAGAAGAAGTCTCTTCCCATCTAAGCATGCTTCAGAGATTCTAAATACCGCTGGTTGAATTATTTCAAAGTTCAGCTGTGCACTCACTCATAACATACCCTTTGAAAGTACCGGTATGTCTCCAAAACTTCTCCTTATTCTAAAGGCAAATGTAATGCAACATGGTGTTGAAAGTATAAGAAGATGCACTCAATTGTGAAGATCTCATGGTTGAATTATAATTCACAAATAATACTGTATTGGTTTATTATAATACTCATCATCATCTTCATTATTGCTGTTGCTATTATTATTTAATAATTTATATATTTTTGCTCTTAATCATATTTAGTTAATCAAGAGTGAGCATACCCTTAAATAATTATAAAACCTTATATAATATTACTTTATCAAATTCTGAACGATTTTGTACAGAATATATGCACACATATTGAACAATGAGGATACATGCCATTGTATAGGCAGAGCAATATTCATGCTATTCACAACTAATGGTATAATGAATTCTGAATGACAATTGAGACTTCAATGCCTGCGACAATTGAGACTCGATGCCTGCATCACCGAGACATCTCCAAATATCATAAATCAAATTTATTAGTGGCCTCTGCATGCTCAGAATGACAACAAGTTTTGAATATAAATGTAGCCAAGATCTGAAGAAGAGGTCATAAATATCCACTCTACTCATCTTTGTCCAGTATTATCAAGTTTAGATTCTGGCCACATGTTTTTATATACTACATATACACATACATGTACATGTAAATGGGAACCACCCCCATAACAGAAAATGTCCAGATTATCTGCGCAAGCTACAATGTAGTAGTAGTACCTATTCTCCACTTTACACAAAATGTATTAAAACATTCTGATTTTAAAATCTTCAAAAAAGGATTAACATCAAGAGCAGCTTCCCACCTTCCAATAAAATATTTTCAAGACAGGTTTGGAAAAACCCATCAATATTAATAGTGGAAGCTACAATATCTTTGGTATGAATCTCAATGGAAAGTTCAAATTCACAACTTCCTATGTACACCATGTAAATGTACATACATGTACCTGGTACACATGATCTCTCTTGGTATACACATGGTGCTCTTATGAAAAGCATGTTGGCAAAAATGTCTATAGTGTCATATAAAATCATTTCATATTATAATCTATTTCTAACTCGGTTACTTCTGATCTTTTAGAGAATGGCCCTAAATAGAGAATGGCCCTAATTAGAAAAATTGCCTAATTATTTGACTCTCATTTACTAAAATTGGGTGATTTACTCCAAATAAAGTTATAAGCTCAGGCAGGTAATTCAAAAGATTTGTAAACTTGCGATTTCATTTCCTGTACCAAAAATAGTAAACCTGGATCCTAAATTTAATTCAAACTCAATATAACTAGAGGAATGAGATTAGCTGTGATTGAAGCAAAGATAGTGTTGCTGGCATGTGGCCCAAACAAGGGTACATACATGTAAATACATGATGAAAACATAGACCTCTATGTAGGCCTACATTTACATACATGTATATGCCTCCATGAATCTCCAAATCTAAAACACAAGTATAAATGCTACTACCGTATTTGCCGGCGTAAAGGCCGCACCCCCGCATAGGCCGCACCCCCGATTTTGACATTTAAAAAAAAATAAAAAAAAAAAAAATAAAAAATTGTGTTTTTGTTGTTGTTGTTGTTGTTGTTTTGCTGCCGAAAACCCACACGTGGAAGGACCTTCATTTAACATCGAGGTGCAGTTAAAGGCGCTGATTTGTGCTTGTAAACTTGTCACAAATAATAGTAACAATGTTGTTTTTAGAAGAATGTGTAAGATCATTAATGTGAATTAAAAACAATAAAGTACCTATGGTACCAGTGGTGTACCTTGTGGTACACCATTTGTTATAGAAAAAAATTTGAGGAACTATTATTATAAACTACATATTGAGATCTATTAGGAAGATTACTTTCAAACCAAGATGACAGTCAAATTTTAGTGTTGTTGTAGTTTCCGAGTGGTGAGTCAACACACTGATTACTGAGCTGGGAGACATTGCCAGGCATAGCGCCATAAATCGAAACTAAAAAAAAAAAAAAAAAAAAAAAAAAAAAAAAAATTTACTCTTTCGCCGCATAGGCTGCACCCCGACTTTTTGATATTTTCTCTTCCAAAAATACTGCGGCCTATACGCCGGCAAATACGGTATGCACATATGCAGGAGTGTTTCAATAAAGCACGGTATCACTTGAGGATTGAAAAATGAAAGGAAGAGAGGCATGATCGGAAGAAGAGTCATGAATCTACAGTTGTATAATCTCACAATTGAAGTGCTTTGCTTTTGTCCATATTACTCTCTGTTCCTTTTTGAGGAGGGGGGGGGGGGGGGGGGGGGGGGTAAGGGAAATAATTGTAAAGTGAGCTTACATTGTGAAATCCATAATAACTACATATCATATGAATAAATACTGTAACATAAAAATGATTTAATGACCACTTGCTGGAAAATAGATTTATTGAGCTGCACAACTCAGACAAATAATAATAATAGTCACATTTGTATAGCACCTAAAACTAAGTTTTGAAATGCTTTACACTGTTACCCAGTAATTGGATTCAATTGCTAATCGGCACACGGTAGTGCACAATGCACATGCTCCGCTTCCTGGGGAGTATTCTGATCAGGCACAATTTTACAAGTGCACACATGCCAATCCAACCATATTAACATTCAGATCCTACTGGGTTCCTATTAAACAAACTGGGTGGAGAGTGCAAATATAGATTTATCTCTTGCCAAAGGACATAAGAGCAGCGGAGGGACTCGAACCCCAAACCATATGATCCACAGTCCAGTGACATACCCACTAGACCATTAGCACCTCTGTAAGACTACACATACATCTATATTCTATACAGCAAAGAATCACTAAAACTACATCTTGTTTGCCTCATTACCAAACAATTATTCCTATCACAACATTTTGACAGATGTCACTTATTTCTAGTGAAGGTCATTCTGTGTAAACTTTGTTTATGTTCCTAAACTTCCTTCATTACCCGAACTCACATAATTGGCAAATTCTGGTGGTCTGTTTTGAAGTTTGAGTTGTTAGGAGTTCTAAAGGAGCCGCCAATCCATTCCCATATTCCATAATTCTCATATAATAAGATTTACACCCTATGCTGCTACCTCATGCACAAGCATTAAATCGGGTTAGCCAAGCCAAGCCAAGCCAGCAACTTGAAAGTACATGAGTTACTATCACATAGGTTTGTACATTGTAAACTTGAAATGAATTCATGACCGTCTGTGAGGGTCTTCTGTACGGAAATCGTGTCTGAAAGTTACGCAGGAACTCTATGATTTGAATAGTAGAAGAAAATGTACAAATGTGTCTGTAAAAGTTTGAGAAAAAT